AAAATCTCACGTGTGAGCCTCCGCAGGGCGACGCGGCGCCCGCCGGCCTCGAGATCCAGCCGTGCCCCTCCACCGGACATCCCAATGGCGGCTCGCCATCGTCGCCGCACTCCGCGGACTCCAACAGCAACGCGCCTACGAGCTCGCACTCCCTTGTGCCCGGCCTGGCGCAGAGTTCGCGCCACCTGCTCGCCGAGGGCAGCATCACGCCGTCCATCAGCCTCATCCCTATAAAGCAGGTGCGTGCGCTTTCGCGCCAAAGATGTCCTTCGGGGCTAATCGGGGTTTTTTCGCCGTTTCAGGAGCCTAACACGAACGACGAGTATGGGGAGGGAAAGGCGCGCCCCAACGAGCAGACCTCCCCTTCATCCGCCACGGTTTCCAATTCGGGCGACAGTTCCGTGCCCTCTTCCAGCCTCACGTCGCTCATTAAGGTGAGTGGATTTGGAGTGGATTCTGAGTCATGGGCTCTAGAAATCAGAAGTGGGATTGTGACTGTTGAAATATTTTCTGATTACGGCCGCAGAATGGACGGAAATTGATTGTCCGAGTTCCATTACATTGCCATCAGCATTTAATGGCTCTCTGAGCTCATTATCCGTTGCCTGACGATGCCTCACACTGTGAAATCTTTGCAGGTTTCACCTCTCAAGTCGCTCCTGCGAGAGGATCTCAAGCGTCGGATAAGCGCGCGCGCATCAAATCGCGCCTCGCGCAACGGCAGCGCCAACAACAACAACAATGCATCTATGAGCAACCAGAACGCATCTCTAATGGCCGTGTCGCCGCCAGACGGCCAGGCGGCCGTTGTTGCGACCACGTCCAACGGCGCCATCACGTCCACAGGGCCTGAGGGTGAGCTGGGGCGCAGCAAGCGCGGCCTGCAGTGCCTCTTCTGCGGCATCGAGTTCCCGGATCAGACGCTCTACTTCCTGCACAAGGGATGCCACAGCGAGAGCAATCCGTGGAAGTGCAACATCTGCGGCGAGCAGTGCAACAACGTGTACGAGTTCAACTCGCACTTGCTGAGCAAGAGCCACCAATGAGACTGGCGGGGCTCCGACGATGCCCACCGGGACGCGTCGCAGCCTTGCCGGCATGTTTGCATTTGAGCGCAGCAGGGCGCCTCCCGGGTCGGCACTGGCCGCAAATGGGGACCTTCTGTGGTCAGTCGGGGGCAGAGGACGCCACAATTGAATGATTTCCCAAAGGATACTTTATTGTTTGTTTGATTGTGTCGCAATTTCAGCCTCGATTGACCACAAGATCGCCCGGAATTTGGAAGTTTTCTGTGTAAAGACCTGCGGAGAGGGCGCCAGTTGCCGGCCAGGGCGCTCAAGAGTCCCTTAAACACTCAGAATCTTGCCCTCGGGGCGGCGCCCCATGCCAATTCTCCCCCTGGCCGCCGCCCCGAGACCCAACAGTCACTGACAAGGCGTCGCGGATGCCCCAAGGCGTGTGTGTGTGCGTGGAGATTGTGTTGGAAAATATAGTGCAAAAATGGATATATCCGTCCACAAGTCTAGTTTCATAGAAAGAGATTTAAGTACACAACAACACATTAATTAACTAAACAATACAAAACTACAAATTGTTATTTAATTTTTTAAAATAATTCCAAGGTAGAGAAAAAGAGAGTTGTAGTATGTAAAATGTACATTTTTTATCTTCTTTTCTCAAAGAGAGAAATTCTCAGTGAATTTTTTTTTTTAATTTACTTTAAGGCATAAAATCGCAACTCTTTTCTTCAATGTTGATCAAATTCTTATTAAAATATGTAAATGTAGAGAAGACAATGATTACATTTTCATTGACAACGATGCAGTGACGTTTTTGAGGACGTTTCCCAGACATTTCCACAGGTTTGTCTGCGGTGGAATCAAGCATCGTCTTTCTAGAATGTAGAAGAGAAAATCCAACTACTTAAGATATTTTCATGGATCGATATTAAATGGAAGGGATAGACGGGGAGAGATCAATCTAATGTTTAGAAGAGAGATATTTATATATTCTTAAGGGGAAGGAAAGAGGGAAATGTTTAAAAAGTGAAGAGAACTAAATTATTAGCTTGTTGCTGCATTTATAAAACAAATTATATATTTATATGAGGGAAAGATTGAGCAAGTGGAGAAAATTGTTAGAACGGGGAAAAGACATTCCTAAGCAGAGAAGAGATTATTTATTTTGAGGTAAATTGTTGAATGAAAGGATGGCAATTGAGATGAAAAAGGAGGATATATATATATATAAATTATATTTTCATTAATAGTAAATGCATAACTATTAAAAATATATAGTTTTATATTCATTATGTAAAAGTTATTGAAAAACAAAAAAATACTAGAAAGAGAAATTTAGGTGAATGTCTTAGCACTTGAAGACAACTTCAGTGCGAAGCGCGCGCGAACGTGAACTTGAAAAGATGTGTTTAGAAAAGAGAAAAAGAAATACTTAAAGAGATTTTTGTACAGTATTTATTCCATAAATAACAAGTGAATTGATAGGAAAAGTGTAAAAGTGGCAGAGAAGATTTTAGACTTAAAGAAATCTTGCATTATTATTTTGTTAATTTATTCTAATTGTTGTGTAAAATTACGATCCCTTCTAGAGTATTGCCCATTGTATTTGTAATTAGGCCTTCACCAGAATTGTTATTGCTATTTATTGCATTTTGAAAAATTTTGTTTTCTCAATTTTAACCCATTGTATCGCTAGATTTAATCCAGTCCTAAATGTGTATTTTTTGTATATTTTTTTGTGAGGAATCACTCCCAGCATCTTGAGAGTATTATTAAGTAATGTTTTTTTTTTGTTAATACTTTTATTTATTAGTTAATGTTTAAGAGATATTGTTTATAGGAGAAACTCGTTGATTCCAGTGAGAATTTTTCAAAATCACTTTCGCCTAATTTATGAACAAAAGACATCATTTTTCGCTAATTTATTCTAAAGATAAATTACACATAAAATCCATTGTGAAAATTATTTAAAAAAATTGTAAAACAGTTTCTCAGAATTCCTTCTTCTTCTTCTTCAAAAAAAAAACGATATACTTATCTTAGATGAAAAAAAAACATGATAATTAACGTAAAAGTATTTAGAGAATAAAGAAATATTTGAAGAAGATAGCGCTGAAAGATATATTTTAAGTGCCCTTTGATTTGTGATTTTTCACTGATAAACTGAAGGATAATTTAAAAGAAAAACACGTAAAATAGATTTAAAAAAAAAATTGGAAAAATTGATAAATAACCGAATTAGTGGCAAGTGAAAACATAATAAATTATATATAGAAAATTTTGTGTCTTTGCGCTTCGGTTTTTCGTAAAAATATAATGTCAAGATAACTCACAATTATTTGAAGATAAAAGTAAAGAAATACAAGTATCAAGGAAAAACTCACTAGTAGTGGATAGTTTTGAACAATTTGAAGAAAAAAAATGACCTCAACAATGAAGAAGAAAAAGAACAGTGTAATCTAATTCATAGGACAAGTCAAATAAAAAATATTGTAGAGAGAAAAAAATAGGAAATAAGGAGAAAATGGTGCCTTCCACAAACTCAAAAAAGAAAAGAAAAAACAACAAAATAGATACAAAAGAGAAGAAACACTATTTTCAAAATGAATAAAAACAACACAATAACGAGTTTAATACAAGAATTACAGTGTCACGAAGTAAGAAGAATAAAAAAAAAATCAAGAGAATATATTTTCACATCACAAAAAATTATAGTCTAGAGAAAAATTCGTCACAAAATGCAACTGTGGAAAGAAAACCCAGTGAAAACTACACAAAGACAACTGACAAAAGAATTTTTGCTTAAGAAATGGGCCTTATAACGATGAATTAAAAAGAACAAAGATTTCAGCTACAGAAAAAAAAACAACAAATATAACGTAAAATAAAGGAAAAAATAGTAGATGAAAATAAAACAGAAATGTGGTGAATAATAGGCAAAAAGAGGCGCTAGAAATGAAGACAGATAGAGGGAGAGAGATAGAGAGAGAATTCTAATGCATTCCATCTTTGTGATGTCGCGAAACGAAGAATGATTTAAGTGAGGGTGAAGTGAAGGAGAGAATAGGTAAAAAAAAAATGAGTTTAAAAGTTAGTAGAGAGATATTTTCAAGAGAAAGGTGACGGATATTAAGTGCAGAAATTAATTAATTATATTGAGAAATGAAGAGAAATATATTTAATAAAGACTTCCTCTCGCTTTTTCACTCTCTTCCGGAGATTATTTGAACAGATGGAAGACTCAATTTTGTGAGGGAAATTCCAGCAAATCATCATTCAGTTCAGTCCGTTCGGCGTTATCAATTCAGCGTGAAATGAGAGTTTATCTGTTGAAAAGTCTTTTCCTTCTGCATTTTATCATCTTAAGCGCTTTTGGCAGTCGAAATGACTACTTTTTCTCCAGGGCCACAGTTAAGGAGGTGCCGAGATTCGAAAGTCAGTCGAGAACAGGTGGAAAACTTTCTAGAAATCCTTAGAAATTGACTTTGAATATTCTTCTGAACTTTTCAGACAATATTTATGGTGAAGTTTTGATCTCAACTGGCTTCAAATTGTGAGTAAAAATATGATTTTTCAACAATTAGAAGAGTGAAAAACCATCTTTTTCTTTCAGCAAACAGCATTGATTTTGCTATCTGATGCTTCATGATGTTTAATTCAATACTACTAGAGGTTAAATGGATTAAATACATCACACATTTATAGATAAACTGGGTTATTTTCTCGTGCTGTCGTCCTAATCTTCATAACTACACATCCCTCTCTGGCCAGAAACAAGCGACAATGCTAGGGAAATGAGGGAAATAAACAAAAATCCCATGTGTTTTTCTCTCACAGAAAACTAAGAAGTTTCAACATGTCATGAATGTGGTCCTGGCGGCGAAAATGACGAATTAACTGAAAGAGCGTTTCATGGATGTGAGCGTAGGACATTCAGTGGAACTTTCATCTCGTTGGAATCAAAACAATGGAGTGATTCTTTCTAGGGTTCTCATGATTCTTTCTTGTTTTGCTTTTCGTTGTGGTTTAAAGATGCATTTTTGCCGGTGAAAATGCTGTTAATTACCAACAGGATATCTTCCTACAGCTTCCTAAAACACTTGAGAAGTGTTTTTTGCATAGATTTCACGTAAGTTAATCGAAAATGCATCCAAGAGTGGAGTTAACATAACCTTTTATAAGGCTCCCGGTGAGAAAATTCTCATCATCAGTCGATGGGGAAATCTCTGAGAAGCTGAAGAGAATCCCTCTGGAGAGGATTAGGAACTTCTGCATAATAGCTCATGTGGATCACGGCAAGAGTACACTGGCTGACAGACTTCTGGAGAAGGCGGGATTGAAGATCGACAGACCTCAAATTCTGGACAGTCTTCAGGTGAGAGGAAATTGTGGGTTTTGGCCAGGATTCTGTGATTTCCGGCTGCGTTCTTTTGCAGGTGGAGAAGGAGCGTGGCATCACAGTGAAAGCGCAGACTGAAGCGCAGGCTGAATTTGATAGACACTCCTGGTCATGTGGACTTCTCCAATGAAGTGCACAGATCTTTGGCGCCCTGCGACGGAGCCATCCTCTTGGTGGACGCCAATCACGGCATTCAGGCGCAGACAGTGTCTAACTACTTCATGGCGGCGTCGAGGAATCTGAAAATTCTGCCCGTCCTCAACAAAATCGATCTGAAGAACGCCAATCCCGAGAGAGTCTGTGAAGATCTCAAATCCATGTTCGATATCGAACCGGAAGGAGTTCTGAAGGTGATCAGGGCGACTTTAGTGGGGTTTTCAGTCAGATATTCATGGAGGATTGTCTAGATTTCAGCCAAGCTCGGATTGGGAGTGGATAAAGTCATCCCGAATGTCATCGAGCGTCTTCCTCATCCGACAACTGATCCGAAAGCCAATTTCCGGGCGCTCCTCTTCGATAGCGCCTACGACAAATACCGCGGGGCGCTGAGCCTGATCAATGTGCGGGAAGGCGAGGTGTTGCTGGGCCAGGAGATCACTTCGGTGGCCACAGGGAAGACGTACGAGGTGAGGAGCTTGTCTCTTCTCACGCCCGTCGAGATGCCCGTGGATAGACTGAGCGCTGGCCAGGTGGGACTCCTGGGATGCAACATGCGCAGCGGCAAAGAGGCTGTGATCGGCGACACCATCCATTTGAAAGGCTCTCCGGTGGCGCCATTGCCCGGCTTCCGGCCACAGCAGGCGATGGTCTTCGCCGGCGTTTATCCGCCTGACCAGTCGAAGTACATCTCCCTCAAGGCGGCCATAGAGAAGCTCACACTCAACGATTCAGCCGTGACTGCGACGCCTGACTCGAATTCTGCCCTGGGCCAAGGCTGGCGCCTGGGATTCCTCGGCCTGCTGCACATGGAAGTCTTCTGCCAGCGCCTGGAGCAGGAGTACGACGCGGAGCCCACCATCACGGCGCCATCCGTGACGTACAAGGTGAAGTTGCACGGATCGAAGGTGATTAAGGCTTATGGCGCTGAGGAGATCATCGTCAGCAATCCAGCGCTCTTGCCGGACCCTCAGAACATCCTGGAGTACCAGGAGCCACAGATCTTGGCCACGATCATCACGCCTACGCTGTTCTTGGGCCCGGTAATCGGACTATGCGTGGAGCGCCGAGGTCTGCAGAAGTCCTCGACCAACATTGACAGCGATCGCGTGATGATGACCTACGTTTTCCCACTGGCTGAGATCGTGCTGGACTTCTACGATCGCCTCAAGTCGCTGACCTCGGGCTACGCCAGCTTTGACTACGAGGACTACGGCTATGAAGTCACGAGTGCAGTGAAGCTGCGAATCCTGCTGAATGGGCAGGAAGTGGAGGAACTCAGCACAATTGTGCACTCGAGTAAAGCCAACACGTTTGCGCGACAGTTCGTGCTGAAGCTGAAAGAGATCATCCCGCGGCAGATGGTGCAGATCGCTATCCAGGCCGCCGTGGGTGGGAAAATCCTGGCCAGGGAGACGATTAAGCCATATAGGAAGGATGTGACGGCCAAACTGGTGAGTTGTCCACGTGAGAAACCCCTTTATTTGACTCAGGACAGTGTGTGTGTGTATACATATATATAAGGGGAGGATAATACCTGAAGGAAACCCTCATTGAACTTTGCAGTACGGCGGCGACGTGACGCGGCGCATGAAGCTGCTAAAGCAGCAGGCCGAGGGCAAGAAGAAGATGCGTTCCATCGCGAACATCTCCATTCCTCGGGACACTTTCATCAGCATCCTCAAGCGGTAACGGAGTCGAGGGCGGAAAAGCAGCATCTGCGAAGGTAAGACAGCGTAATTATAGTAATCTGTTGGACGAAGAAAATACTTAACTAAAAGTCCACAAAGGGTTACAGTGGTGGCCACAGTAATAAGCACACGATCATGGCAAATATCATGATTTCATTTGTGTGTGAAAGAGGAAATTTTCGATCATTTTTCATGGTGAATTTGGGTTCCGTCTACTCAAAAGCCCCTCCAAACTGCAAATTAGTTTACTCTCCAGTTTATTGATAATTTTTGGGCTTTCGTGAGCTTATTGCTGTGGCCGCCAGTGTGTCTCTTCTCACTCTGACTCGTGCGCCTAGTCGAACTTCTTCCTCTTGCTGAGGCTGGGCTTCTCGAACACCTGCCGGCTGGCCGCTGCGCGCTCCGTGTGGAACTTGACGTTGGTGGTGGAGTCGCTGTACCAGGGCGAGTCGAACTGCGTGGTGTCCTGGTCCACGAGATGCGTGTACTTGGTGCGGCCGCAGCGGCCGAAGTTCTTCACCTGCATCACCTTGGGCAGGATGGTCTTGTCGAAGTGGTCCTCGAGCGTGGCGTTGCTGAAGTCGCGCTTCAGCACGTCCTCCTCCTGGTCCAGGTAGAAGGCGCCGCGGTGGTAGTACTTCTGCAGGAACTTGTATTTGCCCTTACTGGTCTTGTTGGTCACCTGGCGCGGATTCTGACGCAGCTCTTGCTTGCGCTCCTCCTCCGTCATGCCGCGCATGCGCTCAATCTCCAGGCGCTCCCTCTCGATCTGCTCGCGCTCCTCGCGATCGCGCTTGATGCGCTTGATCTCGCGCAGCTTCCACGCCTCGTACTCAATCTCGTCGTTCTCATCGTCCGTGCACACGTCCTCCAGGCTGGGCTCCTGCTTGTCACTCTTGGGCTTCGCCAGGTCGCTCTTGATGCTCTCCTCCACGAGCTTCAGCGTCTGGCGGCGACGCTGCTTCTGGTTCTTCTTCGCCTCGTACTCAGCCTGGCGCTCCTGATTCGCCTCCTTCTCGCGCTCAATGATCGTCGTCCTGTCGCGCTTCCGCACAAACAGTGGCTTCAGGCGGGGCTCATTGTCCTCCATATCCTCACTCTCCGTCTCACTCTCGTAGCTCTCGGATCCCGAGGATTCCGCCTTCTCCTCCTCGAACTGCAGGATTTCCTCCTCCTTCTGCTGCTGCAGCATCCTCTTGCGCAGCGTCTGACGCCTCCGCTCGATCTCTGTGTCACTCAGCTCGGCGTCTGACTCACTATCCGAGCTCCCGGACATGACTTGGCTGCGAGGGTCCTGCTCCTCTTGCACCGCCTCTTCCTCGGACTCCTCAGACTCTGAGTAGTGCCGTCGGCGCTCTTTCGGCTCGCTGGCAGCCGCATGGACCCGCCTGAGGCGTGGATCATTGATCTCCGTGGAGGTGTACTTTATGGCACTCCCGGACGACTCGAAGGCATCGATTGGACGTGCTTCTGGGACGGATCTGCGATTGTCCATGAAGTCTCCCTCATCGCTCTCCTCTCCTGAGCTCTCGTACGCGTACTCAGGGCGCTTTCCCGAGATGTAGCGCTGCACCTTCACCTTCTGCATGGAGATTTCACCTGAAAACATCCCGCGAGACAGTCACAGAGACGCCCTCATGTCTTTCCACCCATTTACTCACCTTTCTCATTGCGCACGGGAATTGCTCCAGCCGTGCTCTGGATAGGATTGAGTCCTGCCGCGATTGCACTCATTTTTCTGCTTGTCTCAACTCACATTCACGAGTTCTGAGGGAATGAAAATCTCCTGGGTAAAAAAGCAATGTTTTCCTTTTGTCGATTTGACAGCGAAACTGAAACTCCCCCTCTTCGTTAACTAGCGACATCTGTATTTCAAGAGTACACGCATCACATGTTCAAAAAGCCTCGTCGCACTGCGCTCTGGCCATCAAAGCGATCTTCTGGGCCTTCTGCACCACCTCCGGACAGCGCTTCTTGCGGATGAGGCGGCAGTCCTGGAAGAAGCCCTCGTTGCGTGGGAATCCGTGGCTCCCGTCGCTGAACGTGACGAGGCCGAGGCCCCAAATGCGGCCGCCGCGGAACTCTCCTTCGTAGCGCATTCCGTCGCTGCGCCAGAAGATTCCGTGTCCGTGGAACCAGCCCTGCATGAACTCACCCTCGTACTTGGCGCCGTCCGGGAAGACCATCACACCCAGGCCGGAGCACATGCCGTGGCTGAAGGCGCCGTCGTAGCGCGTGCCGTCAGGCAACAGCAGGTGTCCCAGGCCGTGCTTCTGGCCGCGTCCGCTCCAGTCGCCCACATAGCGCGTCCCGTCGTCCCAGCGATAGCCGCCGCACTTCACCACGCCGCTCAGGATGCCTAAGGACGAAGGAGAGCTGAGAAATCTTGCCTCTTCGCCCGAGAAAACGTTCACTTGTCTTCAGCATTTGTGTGGCAAGATTCCATGAAAATGTACAGATTTTGGAAGGTGAGATTAAATTTCTTCATTTCCCAGTGAAATGGACGAAAGTTTATCAACTGAAAAACTCAGTATTCCATGGTTGTTAAAACCTGGCGTTAAATTTTATTGAAGATCAACTAATTAACTTAAAATCACCTACAAATGAGTGGTGATAAAAATCTTTCTTTACGATTAAATCGATTAAAGCTTAAATTTGGCATTTAAATTATGTTCACTTCATCATTTCCCAATTGATTTGGATTTTCTTAATGAATAAAAGCTGCTTTTACGCTCTAAAATTGCTAAAAAAAAACACGCTCGAGAGTGAGAAGAAGCTATTCTTTGAACTGCACAAAGTGTTTTTCTTTAGCGATTACACGGAGATGAAGTGCGGGCATCTTTTCACGCTCTCACAATTCCGGACTGTTATGCAACACTCTCACTTTGTCACTCTCGAGCGCATCCTTACCGTCCATGAGGAGTCGCTGCCGAAGACCTTCTGCATGCATTGTGGCTGGCGCGGGCTTCACATGACTTTACTCAATTAGGCGCGATCGATTGAATGCGCGGGGCTTCGGCGAGGCTGAAAGTGAAACTGAGACGCGCTGCAGAAGTGAAATGAAAGCCGGGCGCTGGAGTGGAGAGAAATCTTCACTTTCGCGGTGGTGGGAAGAAGAGATTGCGCTCGAGTAGAAATGCATTTATTTGATAGAATGTAAAATTTTCTCAATACAATAATTGTGGGGCTCCAAAGAAGGATCGCGCACGATAAGATGATGCAATTATACAAGTGGATAGAAGATACAAAGGGGGCGCTCGCGGTGTGGGGGTGTCGTCAAGCTTTGGCTGTACAAAAACCTAGAGAGAGAGAGAGGGATTCTCAGGCGCCGCGGCCTAGAAGTGGTCCACCTTGACGGAGACCGTGTGCGCCGCCGTGGTCGTGGGCAAGTCGATGTTGTCCCAGTTGGTGTTGAGGTGCTTCTCGCTGTCCGTGGCCTTCAGCGCCAGGCCCAGGGACGCCGTGCGGCCGGCGCAGTGCGGGATGTTGAGCGTCACGGGCACCAGGAACTCCAGGCCCTGCGGGCCGCACATCACCAGCGGCGACAGCATCGTCTCACCTGCAATCACACCACATTTGTCTTAGCGCACGTCAAGCAAGGCGCGCACGCGTGTGCAGCACGAGTCTCTTTTCGAAAGTCTCTGGCGGACTTCGTGGAAGCAATTAAGTGAGATTAGAGTGAATTCTGCAGGCCATCAATATTCATGGCTCCGCAGAAGATCGTCTTGAATTGAAACCAACACAGTAACGTGCATCTCATAAGCGTTGTTTCCAAAGCGATTCAGCGGATGAAAAGTGGAAAAATCTACTAAACTACATGCTAAACTACTAACTAAACATGCACAATGCATTAAGTTTTATTCATTGGGTTTATCGGCATTTGCAGCAGCTTTTCGGACCATCTTTTGGCTACTGTTTGTTTATCTAAAATTGATGAAATGATTAGAGAACCGTGAGCTTTCACTCTTGTTTCCCTCATTTTAATTTCAATCTCAATCATACTCAGAAAACTCATGAATTTCTTTTTGGTTTTTCATTATTATTATTATTAAGTGTAAGTCGAATTATTTTTAATCAATTGCTGAATACTATAATTGTTTTCATATTGAGAAAAAATCGAAAATATACATTTTTAAAGAATTCTTGCATTAATTGTGAAGTAATGAACTGTCTTTTGTAGGCTATTTCCTAGCCAAACGTTTATGCTCTCTGCTTGGATCTTCGTTTTAGATCTCCAGAGTGAATTGACATAGAATTTTAATGCTTTTGCTGCTGCCAATCGATCTCAATTGAAAGTGTTTTTTTTTATGGTTCCGTGTGCAACAGAAACGCCGCAGAGGAAAGCCAATGCTGCGTTGATGCAAACTACAGTGTTAGTGCTGAAAACCCATGCAAAGCTCACACACTCATTCCGTGCACACGTGATGGAATGCCACAGAACAGTACCGTGTTCCATGTCCAGCGGCGGCCCGCCCACGCACTCGCTCATCCGCGGGTCGGTGACGGTGAAGTAGATCTCCTGCCGGCGACCCGGCGGCAGCGCACCCTCGGGGATCTCCAGCGACACGTTCCACGTGGGATCGAGCAGCGTGCCGCCGCGCTCGTCGAACAGCGCCCGCGTGGTCGTGGGCTGGCGCGCCCGCAGCGAGCCCGTGCTGTCGTACGGCGTGCTGGAGGCGTTCGGCGGTCCGATGGTGCTGGGCAGACTGGGCAGGCTCACCTGCGACGTGTACTGCGTCTCCATGGACGTCCGGCTGGCGTACTGCGCCGGCGACTTGGCGTCCGTCGCGGTCCGCTTGATGATGCTGGACAAATGGGCGTTGCGCGCCGCCGGCCGCGGGCTCATGGCCACGACAGTGTCGTTGTGCAGGTCGAAGGGCGCCACGACAGTGCTGCCGCCGGTGCTGTGCGACGCGTCCTCGTTGGACACCGACTCGCCGCCTTCAGCCTCCTCTCGCTCAGCAAAGACCGTCGTCTCCGGGATCACGTGGCAGCGCTGCTCCTCCTTGCGCGACACATAAATGGGCTCCGCCATGGACTCCATCGCCTCGCGGCGGGACTGGTAGATGCGCTCCTTGAGCTCGCGCCGGCTGGCGTACACGGAGGACGACTCGCTGGGCGGCTCCGATGTGGCGCGTTCCATCTCCACGCGTCCCTGCTGGATTCTCTCCTGCATCTCCTTCTTGCTCTGGTACAGATGGTCCCTGTGCAGATCGCGGCGGCGCGGATATCTCTGCGCCTCCAGCATGAACGCCCCGCCGCGGCTCTGGTAGATGCCTTCCTCCTCCTCGTCCTCGCACTGCTGCGGCTCGCGGCGCATCATCAGCGATCTGTTGCGCCTGAACGGCACCGCGGACGCCGGCCGATCGGCGAAGCTGTGCCGTCTGAGGATGCCTCTGGGCGGCGCACGCTGCTCAAAGTCTATCAGCGCTCTGTTGGCGTACAGCGGATCCGGCGCCGCGGCGCTCGCGTACAGCGCCTCGTACTGCATCTCCGCCGGACATGGCGCCCACTGGCGCTCGTACACGCGTGGCTCCATCATCGAGTGCAGCCGGCGCACGGCGCTGCGCTTCTTCTCGTACTCCGCCGCCACGCTGGATTGCCGCCGCAGTGGCCGCGTGGTCCTCAGGAAGGCGTTCTTTATGGCCGCCAGCGGCGAGCGCAGAAGCTTCTTCTTGGGCTTCACGGGCGGTGGCAGCGGCGGCGGCGTCTCGGGCGCCACAAACACGCGCTGCCTGTACAAGTGGTGCTCATTCAGCGCGTTCACGTAGGAATCCACAGTGCTGGCAGAACGCCAAGAGATTAATTCGCTGACAGGGAGTCAAAGGACATGCACTAACTTTCGGGGGGAGAGAGAGGGAGACTGAGGGGGCGCTTCTGCGGCCCCAAAATCGACAATTCACGCACCGCACTCACACATTTGCCCACCACCAACAGCAATTATTCCTTTAAAACCCAGCATTTCATGTGTGTGTGTGTCTTTGAGCCAAAACCACGAGAAAGCATATATAATGAACAATATAATAATAATATTTCCCAAAAGAATGTCTCTAGAAGATAAATCCTAAGTAAATACAATCAAATTGCTCTGCCAATTTGGCCAATGCAAGACGTAATAATACCAAAAGAAAAAAAGGAGATAAAAGACATAATTGTGTTAGTGATTCTTAAGCAAAAAATCTGAGTGTTGTGCGCATAAAGTTAGTGCATTGGATAATATTGTTCTTCTCCTGAAAGTAACACTTTAATGCGCACAAGACGGCGGAAAAAAGTGTCAGTGCTCGGCTTACCTGATGTTGTGATGATGGCTCGCGGTGCTGATCTGTGGCTTTCTATACAACTCGAATGCCGAGCCGCGCTGCTCGCGGCTGCCGGCCAGATCGAGGGTGTTTCTCTCCGGCGGATGATGAGGAAGGTTTCCTAGTCAGCGAAAATCATTGTCTTTTCAAAATATTCACGTGAATTTAGGTATATTTTACTGATTTTGCTTAAGTAAACTTAAATTTTGTGTATTTTGAAATGATACTAGTCAATTTGCTCACCGAATCCTGGGCCTCTGTGCATGTACTGTCCGTTGTACAAGTGATTCCCGCCGAATCCGTTGCTCCCGATGGCCTCGCGCTGGCCGAACGGCGACTGCGGCGTGTTGAAGTGGCCGCTCGACGGCGGATACTGTCCGTTGTAGCCTCCGCCATGTCCTGGCGCCGGCCCTGAGTTCATGGGCGACGTGGGCGGGTTCTGGCCGGAGTGGTGGAAGTGAGAAGGCGTCGGATAGAATCCGTATCCGTTGGGAGATCGAGGCATCACGGCGTCCTGCAACGGAAGAGTGGGTCAGAGGGCTTTCTTGTGGGATATTGTGGGTCAGTTTCTCACCCCATTCTCCCACTGGTTGGCGCCGGATTGCGCTCCCTGGATCGGTGGACGGTAGTTCTTGGGCTTGGGCGGTGGCACGGGCTTGAAGGGCACTCCCGGCGGCGGTTGGCCCGCCATGGCGCCCTTCGTGGTCTTTGAGTAGTCAGCTTGGGTGGCGGAATTATTGCGACTAGCGAGGAACGAAACAGAGAACAACACACATAATGAGACGATACAAGGGCTGAGGAAGGAGGACAAGGAAGTGCTCTACACAAGGGTATTTAAGCGGATTTGTATGAATTCCTGCCGAAGACTGAAAAAATCTCTGATTTGGATGGTCAAAAGTCGTCTTTAACTCAAGATTCCTCACCTGTACTTCCCGTAGTCGGTCTTTGTCTCGAAGGGCAGCTTCCGCGGACTTCCTTCCAGTGCCAGATTAGTTGGTCTTTGTGGTACAGACACGCCTGGCGGTCTCTCTCTGGCCATTGGTGCCTCGTGGGAGCTGGGAATGTTCCTGTCCTGACCGTGGAAGCCACTTCTGGCGGGACTGCTCTGCCGGTTGAGATCATTGGCGCCAGACGAGAGACTCCTGCTCAGCTCGTGCACGCCTGCGCGTGAGAACTCATGCGCTGAATTCCTGCTTCCACTGCAAAGAGTCAAACACTTCAGGCGTCTGGCCACGGAATCTGCACTAACAGGGACAATCTTACTTCGCACTGGGCACGGATTTCAGGTCGTCCGGCGCATTGGGGCCCAGTCGGATGTTCTGCGCCGCCATTTGGGCTGTGTTGTAGGAATCATAGCTGGACACGCTGTCGTACGAACCGTTGTTGATCTTCCCCGTGGCGGCGACTCTCTGTCTCTCCAGCGACGCCTGTTGACTGCCGCCGTTCAGTCTCTTGTCCACGGCGCTCAGCAGCTGATTCCGCGTGCTGTACTCATCCGCGGGATCGCCATCACCCTTCGGCGTGGCGAAAAGTCTCTCCTGGGCAGATCTGCTCAGTGTGGAGATGCTGTGAATGCTGGAGTTCTTGGGCGACGCCACACTTCCCGGCGGCTTCGACGCTCTGTCCACGCGCGGCGGCAAATCCGGCGCTCCGCCGAACATTTGTCCTCCCTGGCCAGGCGGTGGCGGCCGCGTGGCTGTGGCATAAGTCATGTTCCCATCGATCATTGGCTGCTGCACCACATTCTGTCCCGCATAAGGATACTTGGTCTCCATTGTGGGCCTCCGGGCGGCCGGCGAGGCGTGATCGTAGTGATTCTGGGACAGAAGATGGCACCAATTAGACGTTGAGACACGGATAAAGGATGATCGAGATGAGACAAGAAGCAAGCCAATGCCAGGCAAAGTAAACCAATGAAGATCATGAGTTAATTAGGTAAAGATATGTGAAGCTTACCGTGTATGGCGGTGGCATTCCGTCACCCAAATTCATCTCTCTATCCCTATCCAAGTTATCCTGGTTAGTGGCGATCGATGGGTCTGAGCTTGATTTCACGAGATGCGGCAAATTGCCCAGTGAGAGCGAAGTCGACGGGCCCGGACTCAGTTCCAGGTCCGATTCGGGACTCGATGCGTATGACAGGCGGGATGTTGTCATTGGGAAGAGGAAATCATCGGACAGGGATTCAACGGGCTGCGAGTGCGCGGCCCAGAGGTGGAGCAGTAACAAAAAAATCAAAGAAAGAAAAACACGCAAGAATGTACAAGCGCAACGATGATGTGATGTAGGTTTTAAGGTGTGGAAGAGATAGAAAAAAAGAGAAAAAACACACTGTTAGAATTTTGTTTAAAGAAAGAAAAAAAAAAAAACAAATACAGAAAACAATTTTTTTGGTTGTCTTTCAAAGAATAGTCAAGATCAGTATTTTTTGCAGTCTTAAGAGATCTCTCAGTGTCTTTTTTTTAATATGGGTGTTGTTCTGAGGGTGAGATGTGATCTTTTAGCGAGAAGAAAACCACACAAGATCATGCAAACTGGCCACAGTGATCTTCGTAAGTGCCATCGGCATATGGGAAGCCACACTCGTCATCACAGCTCCGCAGATCATCGGACAGACGCCTGAACGGCGATCTCCGGAAGGTGTGCAGTGCGACGGGTGAATCGGTGAAGAATTGCGGAATGGACACGGCATGCTGCTGATTAATGCGTCGAATGGGCACTATTTGGTAGGAGGGCGAGCAAATGGCAGGCAGGGAGAATCGATCGGGACGCGCGAGGCAGCAGCAAGGGTATGAGCACGTGTTGTAGGGGAGAAAGGCGTCCGCACGCTTCGAGATTTTTGGGGAGATTAAAGTGAAGAGCGAGAAGAGGGTAAGAAATGAGAAGAAAACAGGCAGATTAATTCACATTTGTCATCCACTGATAGAGATCCTTGACACCAGAGACACCACATATTGATGTCCGTCGACCAAAAGGCGCAGTTTTTAAAAACATAAACAAGAAATAAATTTGTCATGAGATTTCAAGATCTTAAGAAAAAAACAGCAATTCGGCAATTGCCTTATGTGCAACATCCGAATGCAAATTGATCTTGAAATCTTGATTGTGGTTTGTGTCTTGGATGTAAAGTTTTTACATCGACGTTGGAGCAAGAATTGAATGAATTGAGAGAGAAAACTGCGCCCAATCAGCCATGGATCATCCTGAATCCGCCACCAATCTTCCACCTGGAACCTAAAGTCTTCCCAACTTACCTTGGACTCGGACATCCACACGGCGCCGCTCTGCTGCTGATCGATGACATCGCGCAGCTTTCGGTACCACGTCTCGGCGTCCGTGAGCGCTATTGTGGTGCTGAAGGCGTGCGCCCACACCTTCTCCAGCTTCTGACACTGCTCCAGGAGCTTCTTGGAGCTCTTGTGGGCGGATTTGGGCAGGCCGTGGCGCAGTTGCTTGATGGTATGCTTGGAGTCTGCCTTGAGGAAGATCACAATGGGATAGAACTGGGCATAGTTGAGCCTATCCACGGCATTTGGCGTGATATCCAGCAATGCGTGCTTGCCCCTGTCCATGATATCCCGGATGTTGGACAATCTCACGATGCCACACTTGCTGGAGCCACTCTTGCCGCCGTCATCCTGCAGCGGCGCCGTGAACTTGTCCGGGAAGTCCTTGATCAGACGCTCGCGCGCAATGTCCGCTACCGGCCCGAACAAGCACACTGGCCGCACGAATCCCGGATGCCGCAGGACGACTCTCTCGTAGGCGGGAAATTTGGAGATGGCGTCCGAGAAGACCACATCGTCCCAGTTCTCCCTGGACAGAGACTTTGAGCGTCTGTGCGTGGAGCGGCGGCGCTTGAAGAAGCTTCCGCGGGACTCTGAGGCGTTCATCTCCTTCTTCGACGCATTGAACTGCGCCGTGGCCAGTTCCTCTGCCCTGGACTTGTTGGGAATCACCCCACGCTGCATCTCCTGATGCCCCCGGCCGATCCTCAGCACCTGCCACGATCCCACGACACCATTATGCAGGGTGTCGATGACACGGAAGACATCCCCAGCGCGGAAGGACATCTCTCCCTTTGACGGTGTTTCACAGTGGAAGTGTGTCTTGATGTGGAAGGAATCTCCGCGCTGACTGGCCACCACTGTGTCATACTCCTCTCGGCAGTGCTGCACGATCAGATCTATCCGATCCTGGAGGCTCAGCAGGAACAGCACGGCTTCCTCGCGCGTCACGCCGTGCATGTCCATGTCGTTCACCTTCAGGATCTTGTCGCCAGGCGTGAGGCCTTGTAAGGAGGCCGGACTTCCCGGCTGCACGGCCGTGACGAAGATTCCCGCCTCATTTCCACCCGTCAGACGGATGCCCACGGAGCCCTCTTTCTGGAATGAGATGAAACGCGGCTCACCGGACGGCTTGGCTCTCTGCAGCGGATCCTCCTCGTACAGCTGCCGTCGCGAGCTGTAGAAGTCATCGGCGCGCGGCGGTGGAGGACGCATGGGCTCCTCCACGCCGCTCCTGGACCTCGCGTGCGCCGGAGGCGTGCTCGGCCGGTCCAGCTGGCTCAGGGAGACGTCCATCAGGGGCCCTCTCGAGCGCCCTCGCGGCGTTAGGTTGCTTTTGTCGTCGAGATTGGCCAGCGATGGTCTCGTGGGCGGCTGCACGTAGAGATTCTGGGCGGAATAGGATGCTCCTCCGGGCAGGAAGGCCTCATCGATGTTGCTGCAGTTGGAGATTTGGGCTGTGTGTGAGTACGCTGGGCTCTGCATGCCCGAACTCGTGGCCGCATTGTTCGCCACGTCGCGCAGGACGACAATGTTGAGGCGCTCCTTGCAGCCGTCGATGATCTTCTTGGCCTCCTTGAGGCTCATCGCGTCATTGCAGTTGGTATTGTGGATTCTGGTGACTGTGTCGCCCTCCTGAAGATGGTATCCATTGGCCACCAGCTGATCCCTGGCCTTCGATGAGATTTCCTTCACGAACAGCCGGCAACCCAGCGTTATGCCGAAGTCCTCCTTCTTGCTGCCCTTGGTCAGGGAAACTTTGATGGTCTGCTGCGAGGAGGAATTGGCTCCTGTCAGTCCAGCCGAGCTGAGACTATGCGAGTGCTGGTGATTCGATGGCGTCGCCAGGAGATTGAGATTCGCCACGCGTCTCTTCACTACCAGACTCACGGTGTTTCCGCTGTCCCTCAACACCTGCACGGCTGTGGCATACTCCACATTCTCCAGACTCACGCCATTCACGGAAATGATCCTGTCGTTGACCCTGGAAAGAGCAATTGGCGGATTAATCCTCTTCCGGCTTACTGAGACCGTGCACTCCTCTTACTGGAGACGCTCTTCCGCGGGTCCGCCTTTCAGCACATCACTCACGGCGATTGAGGGATCGCCGTTGGCGAAGTGGGGATTGTCCCTGCCTCCGGACACGGCAATCCCGAATCCATAGCCTGGCACTCTAGTCACAGTCACCGTGTGGTATTCCCAAGAGGATCTCTCGCCCTGAAAGAGAGAGAAAAGCAGATGTTAGTCAAGATCATTTGAATAGGAACCAAATAGTCTCTAAGAAATGTATTTCTGATCGCATTCACTTGCAATGGGTGTCTTGAAATGTATGTGAAGGGGAAGTCATGATCTATGAACGGTTTTCTTATACTGAACGCGAATACATTCAGTAAAACATTCAGCATGTCGTGTAAGCCTTTCGCTTGTCTGACATAATGCAAATCGATCTAACGGAAGCTCATAAATATTTTGTAACTTGTGAGTTAAGAAATTAAAATTCTAATTCTAAATTTGCACAGAAACGATGTTGAAGCTCATATAGTTTGAATGACATTAAAATTCTATATCCAATTCATTTTAAAGGAAGATTCCGGTGTTTGTGGTCAATTAACCCCTTTTTCTTCATTTCGGAACTTGTTTGTTTACTCTCTTGATCTTCTGTTTTTCTGAATCCATTGGACAATGCATGACATCATATTTCATCTTCCACTTCGATTTAAAATTCACCACAAACAAAATATAGTCAAGTTAAGGTTCTTATCAAGAAAAATTCCTTTTCTTTTGCGATGTTTCCCAAACAGAGTTATTTTCCAGGAGACAATAAATATCGCGTTATTGGTTATTAAAATCCACTCTCCAGCCGTTTTATGGCCTCAAGATCACCTTTCAAACTCACGGAGTGTTTCATAAGGCATTCCTGCACTCCCAAAGCCATTGTCTTTGGGCATTCACTGGTGGTGACAAACGTGCAGCAGCAATTCACAGGCAAACGCCCAAAAACCTGAAGGTGAAGTGCTCATGAATGTTTCATCGTGCGCGCAACCAAGGAGGCCCAAAAGTGTCGTCTATCTGTGGAAAGTCACTCAGTCGAGACATATAGGATCGCGATAAGGCAAAATATTGAGGTTCGATCGTTAATTTTAGCCATCATACACTTTCCACGCTGAGCGCAATTTCCGCTTATGCTGTGTAATTGGCTAGATAAATCATCGCGATGCTAATTGATGACACAGCGGTGTCATTAAACTGTCAACAATGGGAGAAGAACCAAAAATAATACGGCGAATAAGAAGCTGGAGGTGCTAAAAGTGAAAATTCCACTCTGGGTTTGTGGGTGTCTTGCCCGAATAGCGTATATTCATCATGAAACAACCTGGCGGACAATGGCACACCTCTTGGCGTGCCAGAAGAAACCTCCGTGAGGGAAATGTAGTCTAATCGCGATGAATGAAATCCCTTCATGGGTTTCATGTGTGCTCGAGTGCACACAAGAAAGTGAGGCGATTTTTCTTAAAATGGTGGGGCGCACACAGCGCGCCATTCTCGATGGTGTTTGATGAGGCAAAATGTGTGCAAACATAACTCCATTATTAAATAAAAAAAAGAGACCATTTGATAAATGTTTCCCCAAATTGGGCCTCATATCACTCAAAAATGTGTCCATGACAATATTTACCGAGATATTATTCATGGGAAAATCGTAGAATTTCATCTTCCAACCACAAAGAGTATAGCGACACTTTCTTCACATGGAATTTCACTGATATTGCACAACATTGCAACACTCCTTTTGCCACACAGTACAATGATGCCTCAATATTGGATGAAAACACCCATTTTCCGGTGATCTTAGCAGTGAAAATAAGCACGGACTGTGAGTGTGGGAACGCTTTTCACTTCCCGACCCGTTCTCAGAGAATCTCAAACACACACTGGCCCGCCAACGTCGCTCGAGATCGCATCGGCTGTGTCGCTGAGGCTTGAGACTCCGTACAGTGACGATCGCAGCAATAGCAACACTTTCGCGATTGCGACAGAGTTTCTTACGCAGAACACGCAGAAAACACGGTATTTTTCGCATATTTAGGTAAAGAAGCCACACCCACTCGAGAGCCACGCCCACTTTGCCTAGAATCTTCCCTAGAATTGCAATGAAATGTTCCCAACACAGTAGTTGCAATTTCTACGCTGACAGCTGTAATTTTAAAGCGAGAGGCAAAATGCTGGCTATGAAGAGGGAAATTGTGTACATAATGTACATGATGGGGAAAAAAACGAGAGGAGCAATGAAGAAATAGAGAAAAAAAGCGGAGTGCCAACGTACATGTGGCCAGAAACTCTCTCTCTCTTGCTCTGCAGCCGAATGCTACCATTTTAATAGAAACAAATAAGACACGTTCACAGCGGCTGGATAAGCATTCCTCTTGTCGCTTCTCCCGAAAGATGCTCAATGGGATTCCACAGACGGTCGAAATTTGGGGAATTTCTGGACCGAATATATGCAATTTTCACCTTTCAGATCAACATTCAAATTCAACGTGATTTCACTCTGAGAAACGCTGCGCGCGATTTAATGTTGGCATCATAAATCGTTTGATTTCATTCCGTGAGAAATAAAACACTGAAATTGGTGTCTCTTCGTGTTGGCCCAATTAGATGTCATCTCATTAATATACAGACGTATTTTCTACATGTCACCAAATGCCGTAGACTTTTGCCAACACATCCGATCTCAGACGATTTTTTGTTCTTTATCAACCATTCGCGCACTCTTCTCTTCCTTTCACGATCTCGCAGCTGCATTTGCCGAGCTATCGAGATCATGGGAGCTTCAATTTCAATTTTCCAGCAACACAATGAAAGGGATCGATTGTTGGTTTCTGTGTATGACTCACAACTGTGTCATATCTTGACCAATTCTGCTGGTCGATGACCATCTTATCGACTTCCAGAGCACTCCACAGAAATATTTCCCCCCTGTAAAGACACTCTATTTTCTTTCAAATTGGTCTCCGCATGAGACAACCTTGAAGAATCTCTGACAAAAGCGATCCGGAAAAAAATGAGTGGCTCACAAATACAAGTGGAGAAGACAAACAAACCAAAATCATCCTCCACACCCAAAAGAATACAGCCAAAAAGGAGTGAGAGACAAGAAAATCTCACAGCATTCTCAAGTGTTTCACACTCTGAGTCTCGGTAGAAAATAAATGACAAACGGTCAATTCTCAGAATATCACAGTCGAATGCCAATTATCAGCTGAAGATGTGAAGAAAAAAACGTGCGAAAATAAACAGAAATGTGGAAAGAGGCAGAAAAGGTTAGATTTTCACTGAGGAAATATCCAAGAAAGTCAATTCAAGACATGTGTCGTATTTTAATTACAACATTCAATGAATTGGGATTGAAAACTGGAGAGAAATTTATTCAGATTTAGTAAGTCCGCAATTTGATCTTTCAAAATGTGTGCTCAAAAGTCCAAAAATTCAATACAAAGAGAAAGGATTATTAGTGATAAAAGCTAAAAGATCTATCTATTCAGGAACTTCTATGAATTACAGCAGTTCAGAAGCCTTTACAAACTGCTGACAATCGATCAAGTGAACTTCTTCATGGCGTTTTCTTTTTGCTCTTTTTTTCGGGAAATACCAGCACAAATTAATTAACTAATAAAGTCATTAAATATGCTTAGAAAGTAGATAAACGTCTCATGTAATTATATCAAGGTGAATAGCAATTTAATAAATGCATAAAACTCATCGTTTCTATGCACGAATTTGATTCGCTCACGCTTAAGTCTCCAATCTATAACCATATCTCTTAGCGCTCTTCTTCCAGCCACACAATTTAATTACATTCAGTCGGCATTTCCGGCCAAGAACTTCGCGAATGAGGCGGAGGAGGCGGTCAAATGCCCAGCGAGTGAGTCAGAGTGAGTCGCAGGGGAACAAAAGAAGCCCCCTGACCAGTTTGCAATGCACAGAATTCCACGTTCAATTCATCGTTGAGGTGTGATTATGAAATTCCTCAAATATTTGTTGCCAGCCTCTCGCGATCTTTCTCTCCATGCAAATTTGACGGGATCGCGCGCAAACTTCGTAAATTTTCGCTCATATTGAGTGTTACAAATAAAAAAAATCTCTGCAAATGCAGACGAGAAATGTCTTATTTGCCATAGTAAATTTCACCGAAAAGGGGCAAATCATCGAGTTGTGCTGCGGAGATCGCTTTGCAATATGTTGAATCGCCTCGAGGGACGAGAGATTAAATTGAAAATTAGGTATTCCATGTGTGAATTTGCTGAAAAATATGAGCGACGTGAGTATGAAGAGATATGTTGGAAGGTGTGTCTCTTTCACAGCAATTATCCGTACATTCTTCACTCTCTTTCAACTCTGATGTGAGACAAAACTATTAATATTCAATTGATGGAGTGTGCCACCAGAGCCTCGTGGTCAGAGTGAGAGCTTTCGAATGCCTTTGTGGATTAGGTGAGATTTCACATGCTTTGCTCGCGATGCTTCTAATCCCCCTTGATGTGCAAAATATGCTGCTGAACGGGGCGCACTTAGTCAGGCAGGCAAAGAGTGGACAATTTTGCAACACTGTGTTGTTGTGCCTCAATATTTAAAGACTTGTCGAGCGAGTTTCGCGACTTGCGCTTTTAAGCGCGCGCGCGCGATTTTCCCTTCGCGCCAACCGCCGATAAAATTGGTGAAAATACTGGGCGCGAATGGCGGGGAAAATGGGAAGAAATGGTGCCCCAAGAAGCGGCAGAAACCGGCTGCCAAGGGGGAGTCGAGTGTCTATTGTTTCTTGTTTCTCCTTTTCCTCATCCACTCCCTTTTGCTTGGCTCATTCGTGGGCCTCTGCGGAGTCGCGCTCAGAAACATAAAAATGATACAAAGAAAGAGGTTTCTTCGGGAACTGGTTTTAAAAAACACCGGGAAGAAGAAGAGATGCTGCAAGAGAGAGAATTCAGAGTCCTTGGCTATGACTTCCACGGGTCTTTGTCGCCTTTTTTTCTCGCCTCAATTCACTCTGGCGATCATCTTCAATTGACCATCCCAACATACTGTGATGGTTAATTCATCTGTGGAGATTTGGTCATTTTCTCCCTCTAATATCTCTTGCTATCGCGTATTGGAAAAGCGCTCGAGTGTGCCTCAAGAGTTCCACTTCCAACAGGTTTTCGAGACCACAGACATTCCAATGGCCGTCCTGACCAATTGGAATTCCATCTTTGATTGGCTTTTTCTTCGCCACACTCCGTACCTGATCATTCCGAAAATTATTATTGGGTATTTGTCCACCCGTTGATCCCAATGAATCCATTCTGGTACACTCTAATCCCAACTAACGGCCAAAGCTCACAGCATTATTCACATGCACTGCACACAATTGAAATTCAAACAAAAAAAAAAATAGGAAAGAGAGGAGAGAAGCACGAAAACCTCTTGTCAAATATATGCCACAATTTTCCCCAAACACACGTGGATTTTTCCTCAGAGAACTTTTCCGCGCCAGAGGAAAAGACTCACGACAGCATCGCGAACAATCCCAGTGAATCTCAGACGCGAAACTAAAATGGACGACGCCAGCAAACAAGTTACCAAGCGAGCTAAAGATATTTACCTTCACGGCGGAGAGCAAAAAAAGAGAAACAGGTAAGACCAGAGGTGGGGCTGAAAAATCTCTTTTATGTGTTCACCTCAAAATCCTCTCAAACGACCAACTTGTCTGTGTGCATTTTCAATTTTGATGCTCAACACCAGCACACCAGCCGCGTTGGACACTATTTTGAGGGAGTTGGCGAAGCGCACGTGAAAGGCTAAGCAACACAGCAAATGTGTGCTTGCGACTCTCCGCTTGTCATCACTTCACGTGCTTCGGAAATTCCTTGATTAGAAGAAACTGACAAGTGTCTTTAATTGCTTTTTAAGTCTAAAACACTGTTTTTATTCATTTTTTTCCCTATAGAAAATATTAATTCATAAAGCTTTTGACATTAAAAGTCTGGATCATTTAGGCATTTGTCTAGAAATACACCTTATTCTCACAATGACAAACCCTTTTGAGAACCTCTTCGCCGCGAATTGCAGAACTTTCCCCTCACTATTGATGCAAAGCCAGCAAAGCAGTCGTGAGCGAGGGTGAATTTGTGGGAGTCTCTCCAATTTATCTGACCATATAGCATTGCGACTGAGGAATGCAAGAGGGGAAAAGCGTCCTGGAATTCCAGTAGGACAAAAGAAGGTGCAAAAAAGTGAGGAATTTCTCTTTGCCCAGGTAGTTAATGGGCAGTGTTGTCTATTCCTCTCCCTTCTGCGTGACTGTGAGGTATGAAAAAAGACGACAAGGCGACGAGAAAGAGAGGCAATAGAGAGTGGAGGAAAATCGTTGCATTTGAAGACGGTAAAACGCCTCGAGGCAGGCAAAGTGGTAGCTAAATTACCTTTCTTCTCAGTCTTCTGGACACTTTCTTTGCCACTTTTCGCGGGTCACGCGTGAATCCCGTGAGCGAGTGCTCAGTGAAGCGCCCGAAGATCTCCTTCAGATCGGGATTATAGTGGAAATGGTGGTGATTTGCCTCTGGAAATGATCCAATCGGCTGATAGAAGTGCTCCTGGACAGCATAGCGATTCTCCGATGAGGATCTGTGATGCTTCCTGGACGTTCGACGACGCCTGTAATCACTTTTCCCACTCTTCTCCGCCACCTTCTTGGCCGGAGATTTTCTCTTTGATCCACTTCCCCAATTAAAAAACTTCATTGCACTTTTCCGGGAATTCTCCTCTCACACTCTCCCAATGGGAACAAATTAGGGCACTCGAGCTTCTGTCGCGGTGTGGAAGAAACGTCCGGACGCTCGCTGAAGACTAAGTGAAAAATTAATGGCTTTAGAGGAATTACGAGGGCGTTTAATTCACCAACACATTCGTCATTATGTCAGATAATTGAAGCCATATACATTCCGTCCACTATTGGAATTCTCATACTATCGATTGAGTGCGAATTGCGAGCACAGCTAGGAAATACTCCCCATTTTTGCCTCTTCCCAGCGTCACTCTGGGGCTGAATTTTTTCAGACTCCCAGAATGTCTTCCCAGTAGGCCAGAGCCATTGTCAGTCGACAAGTCAAATTAGACGCGTACGCGTAAATTGGCTTGATTGCAAAAAAGGTGCAATTGTGGTGCTAAATTGGCAGAAAGAGTGAAAAATTAACCGTGTTAAATTTCCGCGGCAATTGAAACTTCATGAAGAGACGTTGGGAAACAATAAGAGAATGCTATTGAGGATGATTTGGGAAAAAATTCCACCTGCACGCCTGACAAAGTCAACTTCCTTTCGGCGATTCGCCACCTTTGGCCGCCGCTTCGACTGGGCAGACAGCCTGACAGTGGGCTTCGCGCGATCGCGGAAGGAGCAGAAGCCAGTCATGTTGGTCATTCATGCGACAGAGTGTTCAGCTTGCCAGCAACTCAAGACGAGCTTCGTCAGCGACAAAGCGCTTCTGGCGCTCAGCAAGAAGTTCGTAATGATCAGTGCGGCGGACGAAGAGGAGCCTAAGCAGGATATATTTCAGCCAGACGGACAGTATTATCCCAGGTAATAGTTTGATTGTTATCTTGAAGCATTCGAAAATTGAATTGTGTCAAAATGAGGAGATAATCAAATGAAATATGCATGCGCGAAAGGTAAACTTTAACATCTCAGCAAGTTTGTGAATATGGAAAGGTCTAAAAACTCTCGATAATCTCTTGTATAAAATTTCTGTGGTTTTATAGGCATAAATTCTGAATGTGTCATTTTAACACATTTTCTTTATAATCTCCACAAACACAGTAAAACCATGACCAATCGCTCTTTAGAATCCATCCATCCATTAAGCAGCTAAACACTTTTTGCGTAAGGCATAAAATTTAGCCACAAATCTCGATAAATCTAAAACAATTCTCACGAATTTTTATGATGATTCCCGCACGGAATGGAAACGCCACTCGAATTGAGCTTGTGATGAGAGTTTCTCTGATCTTCTCAGTGAATCATTCGGAGCGTCAATGAAATTATTTCTAATCTAACCGTTGAATTTGTGACTGGAATTGAGCGTGAAATTGACTATTTCGCTAGTGTATTTCTCTGTTAACCCTTCACGAAGTCTCGCCAGAATCACCTTGTCACATTTTCTAAGCGCTTAATGAAGGTGGTAAATAACACGTCATAAATTTGCAGTAAAATTTATCGGTGATTTGTTTATTTCTGCCGCATAAATAAATATTTCCACACGCCGTCCCACTGTTGCGAAAAAGAACCGCGACCACTTACTTCGCGGGGAGATTGAGTGAAAATGAAGAGCAGAGAGTTGATAATGATCCTAATTTTCACGTATTTCTTTCTTTTTTTCCCCCCTCTTGCCAGAATTCTCTTCATTTCACCGTGTGGGAATGTGATGAAGGAGATTGTGAATGAGACGCGCGAGAAAGGAGACGCTCAGTATTTTTACACCACAACTGTGGAGATCAAGAAGTCGATGGACGAGGTGTTGCGGAGGCTGCAAAAGTATTGACTCACCGTTGGATCGTCCTCGACGACAGGATCTGCGAGGACTTCGATGGTCTCATTCATGGAGTGATAGGGCCGTAATCTGTGACGCTCCTTGCGCTTCCTGGCACCGCGTGTCTCGCTGAAAGTGGCACATCCGTCCTCGTGTAGCGCCACAGTGTGTCTCTTCTCCTTCTTGCGGGCTCCAGGACTCGCCACTTGGCGCTCTTTCAGCGACAGACTGCGCAAGAGTCCACCCGCGTCTGCAGTCTCGATCCTCTCGATGGCATTCAGATCAGCCGGCGAAGGGACAGGATTCTCCGGCGGCGCCACAGGCTGTGTGGAGTTCGTGACTGATGATCTACGTGATCCCGAAGCCATTGTCGGGCTAATTGAGCCGCTGTAGCTCGTCGAGCGCCGAGATTCCAGCGTGTCCCTGTTGAGAAAGAGAATTGCACCAAATCAGACGTTAAATCACTTTCGATATCGGGCATTTGGGTGTTTGTTATGCGGGCGCAGCGACAATGTCTGACCTTTTGGCGCGCCTGAGGGTGTCCGGAGTGAGAAAAGTCACAGATGGTGGCAATTTGATTGGGACAAAATAGCCCAATTGTGGTGTTGCCCCATTGAATGGGTAATAAGTGCCAATTGTGGTGTTCCTCCCCATGGTGGCACCTTCATTCCCCGATTCTGAGCTCACTTCCTCGCACTCACCCATGATCCGCAGTCAATTGCGCACACAGATCAACTAATTCACCCGAGATGCTCTTCCCAGTGCCGATCCGTGCGTGAAAACCATAGACTTGTGCTCTCACGCTCACAGATTCTCACCGAGATGCAAAAATAAATTTTATTGAAAACTTTCCTCCACAGATGCTCGCACAAGAGCAAAGCGCGCGCAAGAGAGAGAGAGAGAGAAGTCTCACGAAGAGACACTGAGGGGAAAAAACGCCACACTTTTCATCATCATCATCTACCCAGATAATTTACAGTGGTAATTCCATTATGGGGAAAGGAGAGACACGCTTACACACATTGAAAAGACTCCCCGGAAAAAAAATAAGACAATATCCACTCAAAATATTGTGATATTGAGTCAATCGCTCTGGAGCGGCAGCGCGGGGAGGCGGGAGTGTTTGGTAAAAAATATATTACTCGATGGGAACAGTGACTTCGCCTCACATTCTCTCACTGACGCTAAAATTACAGGCACGAGACCAAAAATAAAACAGCGACCAGACGAAAACATTGATTGAGATTTTAAACTTCCATTTCATATTGTACACACGATATACCAATTCACTTCCATCTGTGAGAGTCGAAAGGGTGGCCAAACCGAAGCTGTGCTCATGCTCAAGAGCTGATCTGCAATTGCAATGATCGACAAAGGATCACACTGAGAAAAGTGAGAGAGTTTCACGAAGCATTTCAAGAACTGCAGCAAAGACAGCTTCTTTCATTTCATCAAACAAAAAAAGTCACAGAAGAATGACTCCGAATCCTTTAGAAGGAGAAGGATAGAGAAAGTAGAATGCGTTCCCAACGAATATTTATCAAATTTAACGATTTTACGTGAAAGCAGATAACAGAGAGAATTTGTCAGGTTATAGTATTTGAGGTATGAAGGATTTAATCAAAGAACGGTTGCAGACAAGCTAATAATATGTCTAATTGACCAAATATCACTGAAATTCCGTCTCTTCGGCTCACAATTTCGCTCCTCCCCGCCTTAAAAGCCCCCCAAATGGAACTGAAGAATGTCTGTGTGAGTGTGTGAATAGACTTTCCATAGTGCCGGGAATATTGAATAAAATATGCCTGTTTTCACTGCTTGGCACTGCCAAACGAATTTCACGCGGAACACACACTCTTTCCCATGTAATTTACGATGCATCAGATCAGCAGCGACTCGTAAATGAGTTGGAGATTATGGGGAAATTAAGCGAGAGGCCATGGAGGGTTAATGGGTCAAACACTGACGCACATCTCTTAATGTCTCAATTCGTGAAGACGTCGCTTTTGTCACCCGAAAAATCACGTGAATGGGAAAATAATTGGTGGTCATGCGATGGGCCTTCCAGGTAAGAGAGGCGTGAAGATCTTGAACTTGAAAACCATTGAAAATTGCCGCAAAACATGTACATTTGCCTTATGTCTTTTTGTGTGTGCGCCCAAAATGCGCGCGCCTCGAGAGGAAGGGAGAGTGAGACAAGAAAGCCATCAGGAAAAGACAGCAATTATGTGTCGTGCTTGATGTATGAAATCAGACAATTTGAGAGCACAGGCTTGGCCTGCGTGCACATACAACACCAATAGTCCATTTTCCAACTCTGCACACCCAAATTCCAGCTGTGGCACCGCATTTGACCCCAATCTGGGGCCGCCTGACCGCCCAATTGTCCGGTGTCTAGCCTAGAGACTCTACGCTAGAGGGAAATTAATTGAAATGTTTCGCATTTTTGTGTGTCATTCGCAACGCCAGCGGATTTGCAGGCACTCCAGCCAAGAAACTCGCGCACGAAATGGGCAAATTTGCAATGCAAATACTTGAAAATGCAAAAAGCACTCGGCGCACACAGAGTTGTACAAAATGAGAGATCCTTGTCGCGAGCCACTAAAAGGGTGAAAATTAATTTCTCTTCTCTCAAGCATTGCCCGTGCGAAAGACCACATTTTCCAATTCATCGATTAATAGCTTGTGCCGGAGCGGCAATAATTCTATTTGATTGGACGGCAATTACCAATAGGTGCTAACCTAAGTCACCAGGGAAATCAATTGGGTTGAATGAGTGAGAGAGACATTTCGACATAAATTCCAAATTATAATTATTAACACTTCAATTGAAAATTGATTGTTCACACGCGGTGAGGCAGTGCGACAAGGAGAAAAAAAAATGTGGAAAGTTTTCACCATGCGAAGACATTCATACAATAATTTTTCAATCAACCGCCATTTGGAGGTAATTTTGTGTTGCTGGAATGGCGCACTTTTGCTCTCTCACTACATTATAGTCAATTTATGCAAATGCAAAAACTTGAAAAACGAGCCAGATATTAGTGATGTACTACAGCGTTTATGTGCACTTAACGCCTAGTGGAAAGAGGTGGAGACAGTGTTTTGCTGTGACAATTAAAATCACTTCTCCTCGGGCAGCATTTCTATGGCCTTCGATTGCAAAATTGCTGTATTTATGAGAAAATTTTGTGCCTTGTTCTCAATGTCAGAAATCAGGACACTTTGGGATCACATGCAGCAATTTGATCGTGTGCAGAAAGTGCAGTGTGCATCACAATTCTTCAATTCGGGGATAAAGTGATTCATTTAAATAAATTCATCCCTAAAGGGTTAAGTAAATGCTGAAAATCTCAGTTCACAGCCAATTATCGTCTGAAAAAACCGCAAGAACTGAAAGTGAATCAATAAAACACGTCGAAATTGATGTTGACAATTTTCTCTTATTGCTTTATTATGTGGCAAAAAGACTATATGCCGCCATTGACACCTGAACAGCGCGAGAGGAAGTGGGCTTGGGTTACGAGCAGCACTTTCATCAGCGGCCCCAACAGTGACTTAATTGTTTGCCGGCAATGTGGGCTTTTCTCGCCCAAAAACAGTCCAACAAAGAAGCCATCGCCGAAGTGTCCAAAAATAGAATTGCAATTGAGTGGCTCTCAATTCTAAGCACAGCCACCAGAAGAAATCAATAAGTGATCGCGGTGAATCATCAATTAACTCTGTTTTTTCTTCACACCGTGCGTTGTGTATCTCATTATGCTAAGTTGATCATCATCAGCATCGGTAATGGTGGGATCGCATTAGGAGAATTCGCGTGGGCTTTTTTCGAGAAGAGCCTCGAGGAGAGGTGAGAAAAGAGAATCAGGACAGAGCAAGATAACAGATAATTCGAGGGGAGATATTTTATTGCTCTCGAATGACCACCCAAAATCGTTAAGCTTTCCATGGGAATGCAAAGTGATGGTCGAATTTACGATCGAATAGAGAGGTGTGGTGATAGAGGACAAGTGGAGATTATCCAAGTTTCGAACATGGATTTCCTGTCGTGTTTGGGGTTCACGTAGAAAAAAAAACCACAGATATACCGCGTAATTTAATAACAGGTCAGTTTTTATGAATGAAGCCATAGCTGAATGAATGGGAAGAAGTCTTAAATTGATTTCGACATTTTAATATATTGCCGCTCTGGTGACTCTATATGGTGGACATGTGAATCAATTAGGTGTGCAGAGCAACAAACACGATCTCTCGTTCTTTTTCTCCACATCACATCTCGTCTCTCTGGCCTGGCAAAAGGTTCAATGATCAAGTGTCAACTGGCGAATCGGCAGCAATAATGTGGGTTAGTGCTTCCAATTGATCGCCTTATAAACTCCAATCTCATTGTGAGAGATTTACTGTGGCAGCGAAAAATGTTGCCATTTGAAATTGAAACACCTGACAAGTCTCTCTCTCTTGATGGTGCTTTTTTACACACGCCACAACTTATGGTAATTTCAACTTTTGCGCCCCGCGAATGATGTCTTTTTGATGTTTCTCCATTTTTTTGCATGTCGCGGGAGATCAAGAGAGATCTTGTCCATATTCCCTATCACACCAATCGATCTTCCAACTTTTGCCAAATATGCCGACTGATCTGGTATTTTTTTCTCACTACGCCATCAGTTTGCGTCTTCAATTGCGCACAAAGATTATGCAAGAGAGGCATTTTAACACCCAAATGATTCTCACACCGCGTCATTTGTATATCAATGCCTCACGTCGAAGCACGCAACTTCCTTTTTCGGACGTCTATCAAATGTTTTATACAGGGCGAAAACCAATTGACTTCTTGCCAAAGAGTCTTCAGCTATTTAAATAGACTGCTGGACACATTTTTTTCAACTATTCCAAGGCTTCGCACTCAGCATTCCTCGTCGTATTGAGTTACACACTCGATATGCATAGAAAATTGCTGACATAGGGAAGTTTGGGGCAGATCATTATTACAGCAACATAATCATACGGAAAATTGACCATATTTCTCGGTTAACCGAAAGCCTTGGTGAAAATCTAAACCATAGGGAAAGCGCAGCTTCTTTGGATTCTAACTTTGAGTTAGAAAATAGACAATGATAGAGAAAATGCTCACCTTGCGATAAAATGTAATTGAATTTATCGATACTAATTCCGTGATATTTCCTTAAAAAATAAGACTAATTCGAGAAGAATGTCAATTCTTTTGTATTTATACTTCATGAAAGAATAGCTTGTGTAAATATTTGTAAATTTCATCATCACAATCTAATCTATCTGCATAATCAATGGAAAAAGAAGAGTTTTGATTGCACTGACAAGCCTTGTTGCTATTGACATAACAGGCAGTCTTTTAGGCCTTCGTTTCTCCTCAACATACACACACTCACTTGCTATTGTCTGTCAGAGTGTGCGGAAGAGCCCCGCCTTCCCCAACTTGTAATTTTATATGTTTTTCGCGATGTGAGGTGCGATAAAGCGCTGATGTTTCAAAGTGAGCGGAATTTGTTGCATGATTTACTGTCTTTGACACTCTGGCGACGAAATAAAGATGGTAATATGTGGAATAAGAGAGACACCCTAAAAAGGTCTCAAATGTTATGGTCATTTCCACTTCTCATCGAAAACATTCCTCACAATTCGATGCCAAAGGAGATGGAAAAAAGCAACAAGTCATGATTGAAAAAGATCATTTGTGGTTGACGAAAAAAAGTCCCACCTATTTTGCTCTTTGGTAAAATGGTGGTGAAAAAGAAAAAGTGCGGCGACCCAAAAAGTATCAACATTCGAAATTGTACTGAAAAGCCGCCACTCATGGTGCGATTAAACGCGCCAGAAGAAGAAAAAAAAAACAAGAACAACGCGTGCAGTGGCGAAAAAAGAGGTCAAGAGATTGAGGAAGTGTCTGGCGTGGAAACAAATTGAAATAATTACATTTTCAAGTTCATTAGAAGAGCGAAAATCTCCACAGTTGTGATCCTCCAAAATTGGACAATCAGCCGCACAGCGCTCCAATAAAGAGCCTGGGCTAAGCGCACAGCCTAGGCCGCACATAGAGAGCGCAATTTATCATTTGGCACTAATTCACCCAGAGCCACACGATTGCCTATTGGCACAAGTGATCGATGATGGAGTGATCGCGCGCACGTCCAGCCATTTTCCCCCCAATGAGATTTTTATCACTTTCACATGGAGTTTTTTATTGGGCTCCCCATAAAAATTTCTCTATTAACTCTCAGGCGTGTGACTTCGTATTTGATCTTCGATCAATCTTGCCATGCCATACAGAAACACTCTCTTCAAGATTTATCGATTGCGTCTCCACTCCTCCTCATTCTATGCATATTATTTCATATGCCATTTGGGACGATATTTTAAATGTGTCAGAGAGAGAGAGAGAAATTCATGCTGAGAACCCCCGAAAAATGCCTAAAATCGCGCTGCAGATTTATGAGGGAATCTTTTATTTTTGGACAACTCATCCTGCTGCTCGCGACTCTCAAACCGCGATATTTCACTAGGCATTTCTTCGTTTTTTCCTTCTCCTTGCTGACACACAAACATGACTTTTCGCTGTTGTGCACATTTTTCTAACACCACCCAAGATACATTTTGATGTCGAAAAAAGACCACAATCGTCAATATACGAGCATTGGAAAAAGGGGAATTAAAACCGTCAAAACACACAATCCGCGATCACTTTTCATTCCCCACAAGGCTGTAAATATCCATTTTCAATCAATAAATGAATTTTGCATGAGATGTCAATGCAGAAGAAACTCCCTGGCGGGCAAAAAATGCGGCACATTGAGAAATTTCAATTGGCAATAGACTTGCATTGGCGCGCAAGTGTTGTAAAACATGACTGCCATCCACGAGCCAAACGCGCGATGCCGAAGACGTGAAGCGCTTCAATTGGAAAATCAATTAATTATCTGTGGGCGATTGCGACCCACCCTGACTTCCGCGGTGGTTTTGACTATATTTTCTCTTCTCCAATAACCCGACCAACTGGTCAATTGAATGGGTCGAATTGTTCTTTGCCCGCCGCATTTCTTGTCCCCGCACAAAGTCAATTGGCAACCTTCGAGAGTCAGGCAATTTCAATTAGATTCTCATTCACTGTTTATGAATATGTTGCAATGCGCGCACATGAACAAACCTCGCTGATGCACCCAAGATAGATGGCAGACATTCATGTATCTGCCTTCAATTGCCATCATTCGATGCAATTGATGATTGTTGGATGGGAGAAAAAAAGACGATCAATGACACAAAAGTGAGTTGAACAGGTGCGCACAAATTCCACCGAGAAAATTCAATTCCATCTGCAGTTTCTTATGCCAGTCGACTGCATTAAATATTCAGACTGTGGGAAGTCGCGCAATGGATATTTATTGGACGCATGGGAAACATTTTCCCAAATTAATCCCTGCCTAAGATTTTCCCCCAATTCTCAGTGCTGAATCATCGGGAAACACAGATGAATCAGCCTACAGTAATCCAGAGATTATGGGATGAAATTTTAATCATTCAATTGCACTGCAATAGTTGCCAGAAGTTTGGACACATGAAAAATTCATGTCGAGAGAATTCGAAACAATTGATTCATGCATATTCGAGTTTAGATTTGATAGAGGATAATAAAGAAGAAACTACCGGAAAGAATTCTAAGAAAGTATGAGGGATTTTGTCTAGGAACAAGGGAGGAAAAAGTGTTATGAAGAACAACGAACGATAGAAACAATATTGAGCATTTAGATAAAAAGGAAAAGCGAGTCTAAGGATATTCTAGGAAATTCATGAGTAATTTAAATGCAAACAGATTGGATATCGTAGAGAAAGAGTCTCAAATCCGATAATTCCGTGTATTGGGCGGGGCATAAAAATGGGCGGAGTCTTTTACAAAGCACACTCATAACCGATATAAGCGTAGTTATCTGGGAGAACACCAGCCTTACTAGCGACTCCCACACCTCATCCCAGTGAAAATGTCTCACAAGACGGATAAATGAGGTGGGAATTGAAGTCATGATGCTGTTTGGGAGTTTTGGGACTTGAAGAAGACCCGACAAAAAGCTAAAGTGTGGAAGTGCGGTAAAAAATTTCATCTCTTCTTAATGACTGTACCAATGAAAGAAACATTGGCAGTCTTTTTGGCTGGGCTAGAGACACAAAGAGCGCCTTCGAAGAGGTGAGAATTGAGTGGAATTTACAAGAGAGAAAAAAACATCCTTCATTCTCAACACACACCCAGAATTGTCTGGCAATTAGCAAAAGAGTCGACATAGATTTTGAAAAAATGTCACGTTTGTTCATCCCGAAGACGTGCGCGGAAGAAAACTTTCATCTGCGATGGTCAGTTTCGTATAGTGTCACCGCAAGCGAAAAGGTCAGATTCATTTAGAGGGTCTCGAGCACGTCTCGTGATTTATGATATTGTGGCAACTTACCGATTACTCGGAAATCCTTCCTGCTGATGAGGATGTTCATCCTGGGCCGCAGTGCCAACCGTGTCTGGAAAGAGTAAAGAAGAAGCATATGAATTAATTTACAAGGGAAATTGCAGAAGAAACTGCAATCGAGGGGCGATGAACACCCGGATAATGGTCAATTGTGGAGCTCCACTCGGCAGTTAATTTCTGTCTTCTTCTGCTCAATTTAATCACATCACCGGAAGTGCTTTGAAAAAAAAACCCGGTGAAGCTCTCTTTTTTCTGCCCTCTTGTGTTGCTGCTCATGGGAAAAAAAATCCAACAAGCGAGAAAGAGAGACATTAAAATTAATCACTCGCCGAGGATGACCGTGTCGATGTTATGCAATTTATGCACTCATGTGCGGTGCATCGCCCTCGGGGCGTCTCTGGAGCATTGATTGCGGCTCTGGTGCTAAAAGTAACCCACTTTGCAAAATTGCTATTAATAACGCTCAGCTTCTAAGCATTCTTCTCCGTCCAAGAAGCGCGTCTTCAGAGACACCTGTCGCGCTGCTTCAGCAGCTCTTGTCCTCCTTTGGTGCATTTTATGCACGTCTCGGCGTTATTGTTTGATGGGATCACTTTATGCATCCATCAACACGTTGTTTTATCAATTTATGCTCGTGATTGAGACGTAATTGAGCCCCGTGATGGGCATTTGAACAAATATTTGCCTTCGCCTTGTGCGGCTTCCACGCGATCAGCAAGAAGTTAGAAGAACAAAAAAATCACTCCAATTTTCATGACTTGGCGGTAAGAAATGTGGTTCGGCCACTGTCGAAAACGCATTAAGCATAAACTGTGGGCAAACATTCTCTCATATTCTCGCTTTCGGTGCAATTTGTAGAAATTCTCAATATCCCTTTCACTCCGAGAGAGCCCACCTTCTCAGCGGTGCCCCATTAAGACTGCCCATGGGCCTTGATTGCGCGCCCGACAATGTCTGCAGAGAGCTACCGAAAAAGTGGGTCCCACACACGAAAGCCGCGTGCGTGAGAGATAAATCATTGGTCATGAATTGTGAGAAAATGCAGACAATTGTCTTCTATGGTGACGACGCGATATCCCATGTTCTTGCAAGAAGTTCCGAGAGTCTTCGTCTTAAATATCGCCTTTCGCGCGCCCCAAAGTGAAAGGAAAAAGATGATCATTTCACAACATTGACATTAATTTCAATTTAGTACAATGGAGAGTGTCAAGAGATCATTGCGCTTAATCAAATCAACACCCATTTCGGGTGCGTTCACCGCGCCAAGGCGGCGAAGTTGGTAAATTTTCAGCGGGAAAATGCTGATTTTCCTCCATAATCGAAAGTCACTCCATTCTTGCTCAATCGCGCAGCACGCAAAGTAAACATTTTGGAGTGTTGCCGATTAAATTGAAGTGGAAACACTCTGGAGGCTCTATTTTTGACTCCATCCACCCCGAAATGCAACTCAATCCCACCGACACGAAGGCAGCAGCATATCCGAGGGGTTTACACAACACATAATTCACAACTGCATTGAAAATTACATCTATTGATGAGTTAACATAACTTTGTCGTCCAACCGGTGCCAATAAATTCACCTCTGAAAGAAGACATTCTTAATTGATTTTATGGGTTTTATGTATAGATACCTAATAATACAATCCATTTAATAATTAGAGTAAAGTAAACTATTTTCTTAATAAAACTGATCAAAACACTATTTTATGAAATTCAGTATCTCTTTCGCTGTCAGTCGAAAATGGTGTTTTTGAGGAATCTTGGGAAACTGTTGAAAATCTATAAGTTATTCTTCTACTATTCCGGTTTGTTTTTCTTAAAATTACCAACTCTTTATATTGCAAATTTTGTTACATATTTTTCCTTTGAATTCGATAAAGTAAATACATTAAATGTGAGAAACTTGAGTAAGTCTAGTGAAAGAAATATTCTAGAAACAATACATTTAAGTATATTTATTCATATTATTTTGAGATTTACAATATTCATGAACGGTAATATAAGGAAAATTTTGTGGTCTTTTTTAATGTCATTCATTGTTATTCCAAGCATTGCAATGATTATCAAAATTGGTCATTGTGGAGAGATTTTCAACAGATCAGCGAAAAAGAGTAATAGATTAATAGAGAACTTGGATAAGTTGGAACCTTCATTCGTTCATCAAACTCTTCTGAGGCGATTTCACATGCCTTTAACACTGACAGCACATTTTCAGCCCATTAATTACACTATTTTCTTAACAGTTAGTTGCATTTTCGGTTTAAAATGTGAATTAAAATTAAATATTTTTTTTATATCAATTTTCAGATCTCAAATCTTATTATTACACAATTATTAATTCTACTGGGCTTTGAAGATTTGTCCGAAAATTCTACACAAACACATTCCTAAATATTATCGACTCGGAGCCATGTTCATATGGACGCCAAGGTTAAACATTCTATTTTATTCCAGTGCTTTGGGTACGTAATTTTTCGAATGTATGTACATAAATATAGGAACATTATATGTAATCAAAAAACTATTGAATATATATATATATATATGTATAATTATTACACATGAACAATTTAGTAGTACATTTCGACATAAACTAATCAAAATAAAAGCATGAAATCATATTGATAAAATTGATTTCAATACCAGTAAAACTCAAGAAATCTGCTGATGAATTTCAGTCCGTCGTTTGCTGTCACTTGAAAATGGAGTTTTCAAGAAGTCTGGGGAAACTCATGAAAATCTATCAGTTTATTTTTTTTGTAGACGTTGTAAACGTAAAAAGTCGTAGTTTGAAAGTTAAATCTTACTTCTTCTCGAGGCTCTGTTTGTTAATATCCTATATAGTGTTGGTTATCTACAGTTTGATAACATACATTCCGCTACGAGTGACTTTTCAGAAATTGTTCAATTTCGATCCATCTAATTTTTCAGGATTTTTGTACTATTCTGAAAAATTTTTTCTCTTCACTTGGCTACTGATAATTTGGATACTTGTGTTTAGAAGCAGAAAATCTCACTTGAAATTATTACACTCAATTAATCGCTTTGAGAAGCTCTTGACAGAAAATTTTATGCAGTGTTTTAAAAATAAGAAGAAGAAGAACATAAAATTGTCTCCAAATTCTCAATTGTATCTCATAACTTTCTTCTATATTTTCCTCACATTTTCAGTACTTCTCAATGGATATATTGCATTGAATATAAAGATAAATTTTATTCGATGTCGAGACATATTTTGTTACTTTCTTGCGGCGTATTTTATAAAATTACCAACACTTTACATTGCAAATTTCGTTAGGCATTTTTCTTCTGAATTAAATAAAATCCAAGCATTCAGTTCTAAATACCACAGAAAATCTAATGAAAAGCATATTGTGGAACTCTCGCTCATCATTTCGGACATTGTAAAGCTCATGAACTACTCTTTTAGCAGTGTGATATTTCTTTCAAGAAATATGGAGACAGTTTACATAAGTCTTTTCGTTTATATCGTTTTGAGATCCATCGTTTTCATGAATGGATCAATGAAAATATTAATCTGGTGTGGTATGATGGGATTGTATAGCTTTCCCAGTGTCTTAATGATTATCAATATTGGTCATTGCGGAGAGATTTTCAACAAATCAGTGGAAAAGAGTAATAGATTAATAGAGAACTTTGATAAGATGGAATCTTCACATGCTCGTCAAATTCTTCTGAGACGTTTTCACACTCCATCAGCACTGACGGCGCATTTTCAGCCCATGAATTACACTATCTTCTTAACAGTAAGATATATTTGTTGTGTATTGCGATCTCGTATTAAGATAAAATAAATCTTTTAAACATTTTCAGATCCTCAATTTAATTATTATGAATTTTCTAATTCTCGTCAATTTTGATGAAATGAATTAAATATATTTTCAAGTAAAATAAATGTAAATGAGTTAGCACTGAATTTAAAGTGTTTTTAATGCAAATTGGAAATTTTAGGCATTGAAACTCCCTCGAAACGCAGTTAACTTCACGAGGACGCGAAGAAGATAGTTTGACTGAGTTTGAGACCCCCTAAAGAAAGCTGAGAAGATAGTGGCTCTCCAGGAAAATTCACTGTGCAGCGATGGTAGAAAAATTGTTTACAAATGGGAGATAAATTTACACAAACATAAGCGAAGAGCTGCTGGATAGTAAATCAACCATTTTTATTCCATCCCAATGAGAGGTGTTTAATAGATGAAAATCAATGGCGAAGCTCTCTTCGGGATTGATTTCCTCAAATTACCCGGTATTATTCGCAATTATACATTGTTGAGCGCAGAGTTCAGTGCTCTGGAGACTTGTTTACGTTTCCTCCGGGATGATAAGATGCATGTGATGATAAGAGACAACGGTTCTGTGGCACGAGAAATTTGTGCTGCTTTAGTCGCGCCATTAAGATTTCTTTCATTGATTCTCCACAGGTGGACCTCTTTTCAACTGCGCGCGATCACATTCCTCTCTTTAGGTCCACCTGAATTCCTCAGAGGCCATAAATTTTTATTAGCACCACATTAGTAAATTGTGCATAAATCCACTTCATTTTCAAACATAAGCCGCCGATTTTTCCGAGTGCACGCCATTTAACCCCAACATCCATTGAGGCGATTAATTAAATAAACTTCACAGACGATTAACTCGTCAATTGTGACAATCCTCGAAATGTTAAAGAGCTGAATAATTTTTTTTTGCCATCTCATGAAAATTCAAAAGATTTTGTGTCAATTTCACAATGACCCCCAAACACTAAATCATTTCCTCTCCGCTTTGAATTTCCTCTATAAATCGCCCATAAGTCTCCACATTTCTTGCCATTCGGATCATTTTCATCATCAACCGCGTGGATTTTATTCAGTGGCTCAAGATATGAAAAAAAAAGTGTGGGAAGATCTTCACGGTTGAATGTAGGGCTTCGAGGTTTTCCCACGGAGTTTTTCACCTCTCCCAAGAGTCTAATTGAATTTAAATCTCCACCGCACAGCCTTTCCTGCCCAACAGTATCAGCAATTTTAATTTATTAATTATTACATCGTGTTCCACCGCCAGCCATTCATCAACTCGGCGACTTTATGGAGTTGAGCAACGCCTGGCGAGGTTTTCGGGGACGTTTTCATCAATGAGAGTCTCAACTCCCAAGCATAAATAATTCAACAATATTCCTTCCCCCATTTTTTTTTTCTTAAACGCGTCTTCGGGCGCTGCTTTTCCATCGTCGTCACGGACGAACGAGGAGAGGCTAGACGGGGCGATAATTCTACGTGATAGACAATCTTCCGTGCTGAAGAGACAATTACAGTGATCAATTAGTCGTTTCTTGGCGTAAAAATGGTGTCAATGATCATCAAGAGAGAAAATTGCAAAAGACCAAAAACCTCAATCCTGTCTTGTGATACTCTGTTGTCGGTCTTCCGCCAGGCAACAGAGTTGCTTACCAGAAAGATAGGCAAAACATAGAAAACTGCCAACATAACCTCACATTCCTAAGGATCACATGAAAACTTTGACTTCAATCTTCTCACAAAATCCTCAATATTTTCCCGAAAATCCAACAAATAACCAAATCTGAGATCTGAGCAAGAAAACCCACAAGTTTTCTCAACTCTGTTCCATGCGTCCGACCAGAAGAGATAACCTGTTGGGTGTCTCTTCATCTGTTGCTCTTCCACTTGTTCTTCTTCCCTTCCCACCGTTCACGACTCTTTTTATTGTCTCCATCGCCGCAATATTGACTCGTTCGACAAACCACTTCTTGTGTTGTGCACACGAAAAAAGGCCGATGGGAAACCCTTTTCCCGCGTCCAGCACACAAAAACCCATCGTGATAGAGAGAGAGAGAGAGAGAAAAAGTCACCTTCTTGAGCAACGGGGAAAGGCACAATATTTCCGGAAATATATGCGCGAATAAATTAATAAATTACGATGACTTTTATTCCTGAAGCGCCCAAAAATTACCCCTTTTTCTCTCAGTCTCTCACATCCATTTCACTCTCTGATGCGAGCACTCAAAATCGCCAAATAATTGCGCGCGCTGAACTTTTCTCAACACAAAGTTGCCGAACTTTCTCATGCATCATAATTAATAAGTAATGAGCTAGTTATTCACAAAGCTCACTTGCCCAGCATTTACCACATTCATATGTTGTCTCATTGACACACTCGAGAACTTTACAGTTTTAACAAGACAGTTTAGCGCGCAATTTCGGTCTTATCAGATCGATTTTGGAGGTGCAAAGTTGCGTAAATCGGATAAAAAAGCAATATATTGAGAAACTGAATTTATTCACTTTACCATGTTTTTAGGTCAGTTGAATTGAAGGAGTGTTTTTTTTTCTTATTGTATCGCCGTGATTTGAGGTTCCTTTCAGAAACGGATGTCAGAGGACTCTTTTTTGTCGAAGGACAACAATGAGGCAATTTTGAGGAATAGAGAAAAGTAGCCGATCGAAAGCGATATGACGATGAATCGTGACGAAGTTCCCACGCTTTCGGAGGTTTAGCTTGAAAAATGCGTGTAAAAAAGCGTTGAAAGATCTTAAAGTAATTTTTATGGCTCAAGCAAATGCCAGAGATTGGAAGATTAGATACACAAATAATAGATTAATCAAATCTCAACTAAAGTCAGGGCAAATATTGGAAAGTTTATTTTGGAGCTTCTGTCAAATTTTCTCGTGCAAAACGAATTTGACAGTTTGTCTTATAAGACAGGAATGAGAAGATAAATTTACTAAAATTTTCAGTTGTCTTATTTCCTTCTAAGTGACGAGTTTAAGCTAAACCTCACGCCTGTCCAAGGCTTAAGAGTGCAACTGTCACTCACCATAATTGAGGCGATCATTGATGATGTCAGTGATGAACTGCGGACATTCCGTCTCCACGGCGTAGCAAAACTCCTTGAACTTGTGGAATCCCTTCCGGGCGATCGCTTCAATCACCCCGTCGCACTTCCTGTCCACACTCACTTCGGCATTCAGCACCTCCTCGTCCACAACACTGAGCACGCCCTTCTTCACCAACACGGGCACCAGCTGGCTCTCCTCCAGCTCCCGCAGGAGCCTCAGACGGTGGCGCTGCAGCAGCCCGCGCACTTCCTCACACTCTTCCGCCGACATCACGTCACATCTCACTGCACTGTCGGGTCACTGGGCACACTGGGGTGGACGCAGAGCGGCTGGGCGTCTCGGGAGGGCGAACAAGGGAATCACTGGGCGGAAAGCAAACAAACCATCCCACTCGGAGAGCAAAGGTAAACTGAAGAGACGCCGAGCCGTGAGAGAGCGGTTACCACGGAGATGAGCGAGTGAGAGAGAGGGAGAGACACTGACAGTCGATGAAGCCATCGAGTCCAACCTCACTTTCGCTGTGTTTTGAGAAATGGAATTGACCAGGAAGTGCGGGAAAGTGTGCAGGACGTGTCTCAGGGATGATTCCCCGCTGTCACAGCTCGATGATGAGTTTGATAATGAGATTCAGGGCATGGAAATGCTGGAGTTTCTGCTCGGACGGCAGATTGACGGGGATTTCAAGGAGATTTGCAGTCTCTGCCGGAGGAAGTTGACCGAATTCTATGCTTTCAAGCATCAGTGCCTCAAGTCTGAGGAGAAAATCCTTGCCGCAGCTGAAGAATACTGCACGCAGAAATCAGCGAAGAGTGAAAAACTCCACGGATGCCGCAGGTAATTGAGAGAATCTCGTTTCCGGAAGATTCTCATCTCTTCCCTCCACAGATGCAAGATCACTTTCCTCTCAAGGACAGCTTATGACCGCCACTACAAGACTGAGCACGGGAAGATCACTCTATGTGAGTTGTGCGGCAAGAAGCTGCTGAAATCGCAGCTGGAGAGACACAAGGCAACTCATAGTGACCAGAAGAGCTTCTGCTGCTCCGTCTGCGATGCCGGATTCACGACGAGACAGAGCCTGGAGATGCACATGCGCATCCACACGAACGACAAGAGGTACAATTGCGAGCTCTGCGGCGAGAAGTTCGTCCACTGGAGCGGCAGGAGAGCTCACATCCGCGCCAGGCATACGGCCGAGAAGTCTTTTGAGTGTCCGTGCGGCCGGCGGTTTTCCCACAGTAGCAGCCTCCTGAAACACCGGCGTAGCCACGCGGGAGAGCTCAGGCACGAGTGCAGCGTCTGCCAGAAGGGATTCGCCAGAAATCGCGACCTGCGTGATCACATGGTCACGCACACGGGTGAGAGGAACGAGATCTGCAGCGTGTGCGGCAAGGCGTTCGGCGTGAAGAAGAGCCTCCGGACGCACATGATGACGCACACGGGCGAGAGGAACTATCCGTGTGCGGTGTGTAAGAAGTCCTTTACGCAGTGCCACGTTCTAAGATCCCACATCAAGGCTATGCATCCGGAGCACCCTCTGCCACCGCCAGGCACCGTTTTGTCCAGGAAAGCCAGGAAAGGATAGCTTTGTGGACGCGCAAACTTGTATTAAAAAATGCATACAAAACACTCTCACTTTCGGATTCTCTGCCGCCGTTCTTCGTCCATCTTCCTGACCAGCTGCCACGTGTCCGCGTCGAGGTTCCTCTTCCCCAGGGATTTGCCTACCAGACGCGAAAGCGTCAGGAGACCATGCAGCTCCTCAGGCGTAGCATTGTGAGCTTTTCGCACTGCCACGAGATCCTCCTGAACAGTGGCTTGGATGTTTTCATCCAGATCGAACTGCGCGATCTTCTGCCCGGCCAAGAAGTCCCTGATACTCCTAGACTTCGTTCTGATGAACTGATGGGCCGCCTTGAAGGTCTCCTCGATGTGCTGCGAGGCCTCCGGATCAATCTTCAGAGGCAACATCACGTCGCTGGGCAGAAGACTCTTGCCCTCGCTCAGGATCAGAACAGCCACATCGCACTCGTAATCCAGAGTGTAGTACTGGAAGTCTGCCTCGATAGATTGATGTCTTATCAGATTTCCCAGGCTATGGACAGCCTTAATACCGCCGGATTCCAGCTGTCCGGGCGCCATAAGAGTTTCGTCCAGAAGCAAGTGCGTCTTCGGCGCGAGCTGGAGTACGCCTGAGGTGAGTTTCCCTGTCGCGTAATCCTTCTTCGGCACAAACTGCTGTCCATTGAGATTGTCCAAAGTCATCTTGAGGTGATAACTGGCCGGGAGGATTGCCTCAAGGACCCCGTACAATGATTTGGGATATTCCATAGGCACATTCGTGATGTTGAGACACATTTTGCCCAGAATCTCCAGTCCCACGCGGCTCTGGATGCTGGAAATCAGGTGTGCGAAGAGATATCTGGCCGCCAATTCGTCCCCGAAGAGACACTGCGTCAGCATCATCAGGACATCGCGTGAGATGTCCTGGAAATTCTCTCCGGAAGGGATTTGCTGGAGGAAAGGGTTCATCTGGAGCACTTCCCGAACGGAGATTGCATGCAGGCGTGGGATAAGATGTGGTGGAGGATTTCTGGCGAGGTGTTCTTCGGGATTGGACACTTCTTCATCGCTTCCGTCCAGACTGGGATCCACAGAGAGGAATCCCAGCACATCAACAACAGTGTTGAGCCGGAAAGCGTCAAAATTGCTGTAGATTTTGGTCAGGCACGCTCTGCTTGGGCGGTCAGGGAGCGGGGAATTCACGAGGTATTCATGAGACAGGGCAGATCCTCCTGTCTCGACTTTCGGACGTTTCTCAGGCACTTCTTCGTCCTCAAAGCTCGCTTCATCCGCCCAAGAATTGATCCCAGGAATAGTGACCAGGAATAGACATCTTCTCTCGCCATGCTTATTGCTGGAGGAAGAGAAATCCACCTCTTCTGACACCTGGAAAGAAGCCCAGAATAATAAATCAACAATAAGGAAAGGAAATTTCGTGTTTTTACCTCGTCAAATTGCAGGAAATCGATGAATCTGCCATCCTGAATCCTCTCGCCTTCACTGGTTTTCACGATGTAGCGTTCTAGGTAGAATTCCGGGTCCAGCATATCCTGGATCATCCCACGGAATCTCACCAGGCTTCCATTCTCCGGGAGTTTGGCATGATTCAGCAGAGGAATCTTGCTCCACGCCTCCGGTTTGGTCAGGAGCGCCAAGTATTCGTTCTCACCAGCCAGATAATCACTGATTGAGGGCAGGATTTCCAGATTCTCAGGCATTTTCCAGGGGAAAAACTAATCCACTCTTTCACAATTTACGAGGTTGTGTTGCGAACGAATGACAATCAAGCATGATTTCCCGCCATGGAAATTCGCGCGGCGCTCGCAGCCGCGATGTAGGCAAAACAGTGTCAAGTTTGAATTTCTCTCACCATGAAATCCCCAAATGAAATCTCAATGAAACACGCGCTTAATCGACCAAATAATGCTTTCTAAACAAAGAATAATTTAAGAAAACCATCAATCAGGCTCACATCTAATATAATAATCCTTTGAATAACACACCTCACTCACGAAAGAAATCCCCGGAACCGCGAAAGAGCGCCAAATTCATGTAATTTATGAACCTCCACCTCGCATTATGACTCGCTTTTTGGTGTGTTTTTATGATGAAAAATCACCCTCGGCGGCTGTTAAAGTGTCCCAAGACGCGAAATTGACCCGATTTTAATTAAATTCGGCTCTTTGAGGTGAGAAATGCCGCATAAAATGCAAATTTCATGAACATTTACGAGCCATATTTTGCAAGGAAAATTTCGCACCTTCAAAGGTGTTCAGAGTAGAAGAAAAAAAAGAAGAGAAATGAGGGTGCGATTCTAGAATGAAATAAAACTCCTTTCAATAAACAGATTAAGTTGTGTTATTTATCACTCATATAGCTAACATCACATTTACATGTCTTTTTGCGGCATTATTGCGCTTGAGAGACTTTGAATGTCTCTCAATTGTCAATAAATGTTAGAAATAATGTATTGTGTTAGAAATTGTGTATTTCCAAGTTTAGACACTCATTTAGGCATCTTTCGTTAAGGCTTTCTGACTATGTGTATCACGAGATTCTACCTGTAATTCTTAAATTCCCCTTATTTTTCTCTAATACTGGTTATCTGGTTATCCAAGAGCCGACAAGAAGGCCTCACGACAGCATGCTGAGCTTCATGCTGCTTTTACTCGGTGTTCTGTACAGCTTCTGCGCCCACACGGACAAAATGACCATTTGCGTGAGGATAATGATCTGCACGATTACTGGAAAGACAGGAAAAACGCTGAGAAAACGCATCCGGAAGACTTGAATGTGGGGAAACTTACTGTTTTTGTACAGCGCCGGCGTCAGTGGATACCAACAAGGAAACTCTATGTTCGCCACAATTGCATTCCCAATTCCTGGCTGAATCTTCGTCATCATCAGCACGAATTGGAGCGCAAAGTACTTGGCCCGCAGATGGAGATCCGGGAAACAGGGCGCCATCATGCGCACGATGATGTTGAGTCCCCAGATGCAGAGAATGATGGAGGTGATGATGAAAGGCAGGAAGTACAGAAAAACTCTGCTGTAGAGTTGCTGCAAGGCAAGAAAAAGGGTTCCTTTTTTGCTGCTTCTCAACACACAATGGAATGCATAGAATTTATTGCTTCCGGAAGCAAAAAATCAGGACAATCAAATAAATAACAACACATTTTAAGACAGTTTGATGATACACTGGCATCTTAAACTTCAAATATGTAAAAGATTAACATGCCAAATACGGTTAACTAAGAACTCGCCAATACCTCTTAACAGATAAGATCTGTTAACTCGAATAGAGCCACTGATTTTAAGGGATGAATTTTCAGTTTAGGATCGGGCAGTTTAATTGTTTATCATCCAATTATTGTTCATAAGCACAATTTAGCCTGAGAAAACAATCCTGACTCTTCAATAAAGTCTAAATATTTTTGAGGTAAGCAAGACTGGCAAAAACCTCTCAATTAGTGGGAAATTTGAGGGTGATAAACATCTCTAATTACGGTCTGGCAGTTCGGATTGACTAATTTTTGCCATGGTTTGGTTTCATTCTCTAATTTACGAGCCGGGAAATGTGGCGACTTTTTTGCCACAGGACAGTCAAACAGCGGAACGGACACCTTCTAAGGCAAGAGATAGACACTCACGTTGTTCTCCACGAATAGCACGTTGAGCGTGATGAAGAGCACGCCTTGCACGATGGGGAACTGCAGCACGAGCGTCCTGACCAGCAGGAAGGCGGCCTTGCTCGGTGGACCGGGATGCAGACAGCACCAGCAGCAGCAGCAGCAGGGCGGCGTCCTGAGCGAGAAGGCGTCTCGGTTGGCCTGCTTGATGAAGTTGGTCTCCCCGGCGGCGTAGTCTATAAATAGGCTGGCGGGTGGCGATGAGGGGCGGATGAGGAAGGTCAGTGCCAAATGAGAAGCGTCCTCGCAGAGTTGCAAAGCGTCGCGATGCGAGATCAAGTGGCAGTTTTGAGGATGAGAGAGAATGCGGAAAGAGAGGATGGCATATTATAATGTGAATAAATTGCCAGATAATTAATCTTAGGCATGATGCGAGTTGAATAACTCAAGCTCGAGACGATAAGTGACCTTGAAGCTTATCTATGAATGCTGAAAAAGTAATATATGAACAACAACAAAATTCACACAATTTCGTTGATGGGCGCCTTTGAGGAACTCCAATTTGCTGCCTTTGCAACTCTGGGCATCAGTCAAAAAATAGACGCTTGATCGATTTTCGGGCTCTCTGGCACTTCACTCACCAAATTAATTGATAGGTGCAGAAGGCGAATGTCAAGTGAGCCACTGTGTCGCACAGCAGAATGGCTCTGGGCACCAGGATTGACACGAAAGCCGCCGCTGAGACGATCTGCAAGAAGCCGAGATTAGCCTGGAGATTTACAATCCATGACGCGGACTCTCAAATCTCTTTATCCGCCGTGATTGTCGCCAAGAGCGGCACTCTTGGGATTTGGGACGAACAATGCGAATTGAGGCTCAAGTTCAAAATCATTGTCATTCGCGTCAGGTGCGAAATGAGCCTATTTGCCTCAAATTAGCTCCCAAAGCGACCGCCTTGGAGAATGGCAGCCGAGGAAGAGGGAGAGGAGCACTTGGTGTGGAGAGTCTTCGGTGGTCAATTAACTGGCCATTTGTGAATTAACACGAGGGAGTCCTCGAGAGCCTCTTGGGAGGAGTCAATTACACTGCGTGAGTGATGAGATGCATTAGAATAAATTGCCAATTAGCACGGCGTTCAAGGCGAGTGAGACAGTTTAAAAAAAAAGTATATTCTCTCTAAAAGGTTCTACATAATTTCCTATGCAGTATGAGAATCTATTTGATTTGTTTTATCACCATTTTCAACTGTTTGTGTGAACATTCATTTATCATTTTTATTAATTATACTTTTCTCATGCGATAAAGAGATAATTATTTAGAGATTCTTAAATGCAGTAATGCTAAGAAAATACTGAATTTAGGGAAGCATTTTTCGTGGCTCTTTGTACACCTTTCGCGGCTAATCCGCCCGCCTTGGGCGCTTATCTTCTTGTCAATTACCTGGTAAATGCCGCAGAGCATGAGTGTCCGCGCCAGGAAGTCCTTCGGCGTCCGTCTGACCAGCTTGTTGAGGTTCCTGTAGAAGATCGTGAGGGTGACGAGGAAGAGCGCTCCACCGGCCGCCGTGAGGCCCATCAAGAGCGGCGTCATGGCGGTGACATAGTCGTAGAAGGACGGAATGGCATCATTAGAGCACTCAGACTCCTCGAAGGGTCGCAGCGTCGAGCTGTTCATGGCTGCAAATGCAATTCTGATGCAATACAATTGCCTCATTTATGGCCAATAATAATGGTCTTTTCATTGCTGTCGCGAGATACAAATTGCGCGCGAATCCCATAGAATGTGGCGAAATGCGAGAGAGTGAAAATTGATGATCGCATTGTGACCCAGAAATGGTGGAGATTTCTGGGTGGGAAAGCTCAAGGGAAGTGCATATTTCCACGCTCTTGATGCTGATTGTTTGCCTGATTAAAACGGAGATATGAATGAAATATTGAAAAGATTCTTTCTATTGGATTTCCGCGTGCTTTTTCGAAGATTCTCATTTCGATTTGAGCGAATTTGCAAAGATATTCATCAATCGCAGCAGATTCTCAATTACTTTGACCTCCGACATTTGACGTCATGTGTCAAGACTCTTGAGGATCTCTAATGTCCCGAAAGGGTGAGCTCTGGAGTTCGACCCCAAAATTACGCCTAAATCGATGGGGAAGACCTATAATTTCTGCCTTCTCATCGTCTTTTTTGTGCCCATGAGGCAAAATGTGGCTTTTTTCTCAGCTGATTGTGAGCTGATGGGTTTGGTTGAGCGAGAGACCATCACTTAATCACATGCAAATGTTTCGTTTTCATTTGAGAAGATTACATAAATTAAGATAATCAGCCTCTTTCGCTCTCTCTCTCTCGCTCTTGTGAATCACAAACTTTATATCATTCTATTCATGGCATCACATAGAATCTATGCTCGAGCGAGAATTCACGGTCGTTGGGAAATGATATGCGGAGAGGATATAAATTTAACATTGATGGATTGCTGAAGAGTTTTGTGAAATGCTACACATTTTTCTGCACAATTCCATGTGGATTGAATAACTTTATGAAGACGCGTGCGAAATTGCGTAAAGGAAAAATCATCAGACGAAGAAATAATAATTTCACTTTTTTCTCAATGCGTGTCGAGGGGTCAATAAAACTGGGTGAAAAGAGTCACTTTTTCGAGGCCGTCCGAAATTGTGTCATCGCTTCTTTTATGGCCACAATTGATCTTTCCAGATGTGACGAAGAGAAAGAGTTAATTTCGTCGCGTTGCTCACTTCAAATATTTAACAAGAAATTTCTACACCAATCAATTAATTGAATGCGACAAATTGATCACGGGATTTTCCGGGCGGTTCCTGACAAACGTGACAAACTGATGCAAATTGCCGCCATTTGTTCACATTGCATTGTTGCAGTTTTAAATTGAATGGCGCATGAGAAAATCAATTCCCATCAATTTAATTGCCTGCCACGCGTGAGAATTTACGGCCCCTCGAATTGGCCGAAAACTAATACATCACGAGAAAAATTTAACACCACAAATTATCATTTCTCACTAGGTTTTTTCCCCTCTTACGCGCCGCTTTGAAAAAACAACAACTGATTTCTCAATAGAATTCACGGAAAGCATTTCAGTCGCACATCGCGAACTCTCACAAAAATTGTGCCTCAATTTTGCGCCACACTTCTTGCAGAGTCACGGCGAAGGAGCAAAAAATGCCGCCGAGAATTAGTCGCACAGTGAAAGGCCGAATGAAAGGTGACTTCGCTGCACACCCCCAGAAATCAGCGAGCCGAGAGGAATTCGGCGGTGCCCAAAAAATGCCGTGCGATAACACTTTGCACACAAGAAAGTGCGTCAGATTGACTTCTGGCCGATGCGGAGGCGCGGCCGTCCTACCTGTTGCTTAGGTTAGGTGAAGGTTAGTGCAGGTTCGTGAAAAAGCGCGGGAAAAGGCACATTCTCGCTCCGAATGTGCAGCTCAGACTGGCGCACAAACTCGGCTCAGTCTGACTCGCAGCGGCCAAAAGCGCGCGCCTCGCGAGGTGAGAGTCGCGCTGGCGAGGCGACGAATGCCGGCGGCTCACAGGGGCCAAAAATGGAGAATCGCATTTATTTGCAATTTTTATGATTTTCCACTATTGCTTTTTCTTTAAGAAACAAAATCTCTGCCTTTCAGAAACTTCTAGGATATAGAATGTCAGGAATGGCCGAATGTAATATTCCCAATGTTAGTATTTCTACAGAACGTGGTGAATACTGGAGTTTTCAGTATCAGTTAGTATAGAAAACATTTAGAGTGAAAACGGAAAAGGCAAGCACTCTTGGAATTAAATACAACAAGCAAAACACAGTCATCAGGGAAGATGAAGTTCATCCAGGCGGAAAAGAGAATTAGCGACGAAAGTACGCGAGCAGAGCAGCGAATCACTCAAAGTAGACAAAGCATTAAAGATGGTTTTCCAGCACAAACATGAATCCCACTTCTAACACCAGAACTCCTCAGATGTCACCGTGTATCTGCAATTTAGTCCCATTCTCCTGTTCGCGCGATAAGACAGAAAGAAGAAATTCGGGGTATCACAGCAATGAGGCTCTCCGGAGACACAAGGCGTGAGCATGACTTTGATTTTTTCCCACCCATTAAGTACAGAAGCGCCCACAGAGGAAAGCGAGGGCGCATAATTGAGTGATAATGCGGCGTGAAGGGACGGGAATGCAGAAGCTCATTAACAGCATTGCTCAGCTCCTGCCAAGTGTGAGCAATTTGAGAGGATCTGCCCCGCAAAGGACTCCTAAAAGTGTGTAATCCCCTTAAGACTCACCGTCGCGTGCAGGAGGGAAAATGTGTTTATTATGCCGCCCACACGGGGTGGGGTGGGGGGGTTTTAGAGGAGCTTTTTATAAGCAATTACACACAGTTCCACAAAGTGGAAGCCTCCCCAATTGGGGAGTGCGCTTGGGACGAGAGATAAACAGCTCAGTTGATAGTTGAGCTCCTTAGGATGCTTCTCAGCAGTAAAATGCTCGTTGCGAAATTGTATATGTACACAATCGCACAGTGTGCAAGATGTGGTCAGCGCGGAGACCATAAAACCATCCATGCAAATTGTGGGGGTGTTGCAACAATGTTGACTGTACACATTGTTGGGGGGTGCTTTAAAGTATTGTAGGGTTCTCTTAAATTGAACATACTTCGCCTGCGAGAGCTTAATGGGAAAAGCTCCCGAGTTCACAAAGTCACGCATTCATTCATTATTAAGGCATTTAGCACAGTCGCTTTTCTCACTCTTCTCGCCATCATCCAACACTTTGCAATTTATTGCTTACTTTTCATTGGAAAGAATGGCACATACACGCAAAGCTGTGTCACGGCGAAAGATGCTGAAGTTTGAGGAAAAAGTTTTTCTCCCAAAAAATTTATTGAACATCGAAGAGTGCTTAAGAAACTTCCTAATAAACAGTGTTATCGAGAGGATTGAAGAATGGAAAGATATGGTGTACATGGCAACTATTCACGCCCTTGATTTGTTGCTCTTAATGTTCGTAAAATCACCAACATTCAGGCGCTTAAGTGGGCAACAGTGAAACTTGAAATCAAAATTCACTTCTGTGAGCTTTTGAGCTTTCATCTGCAAGCAACAATATGCAATAGTGAAAACGCCCTGAAGCGTGCAACATACGTGAGTACAAAGGCACAAAGCAGTGAATTCTGGCTCAATGGAAATGCCATCGAATGCACAAGAGGCCAGAAATATCAATAAAACGATCAAATGTGAATCACTAAACAAATTTTATGATAAGAAATCTAGAGTAAGGCGCATTTGTGACAAGTGAAGCCTCTTAAAGGGAAGCTAAGAGATTTGACCAGATAATCCGAATTCGTGAAGAGTATTTCAATAAATTGGAACAATTCAAATAAAAGTAGAACGTCTGAATGCAATAAATTCACATAATCCTTTCAAATGGGCGGCGCTTATTAATAGGTGGAGTCAATTATCCATTCTAAGTGTCTGCGAAAATCATCAAATTTAGGGTTATTAACGGATTTTAATAAAATAAATTTCATTTGCAAGCTGAGTGAATGTTATGCTCAAATAATGAACTTAAGCGTGAAACCAAACTCACATTACTTACAGACTTAAACAGCAATTATTCTCACACACTTCCTCTTGGTGTGTTTCGAGGAATCTCCCCAAAATCTCAACTGCAGCTTCTCTGATAAGATGTGCGACAATAAAATGCGCCTGAGCTGTAATCACACACAAATAATCCTCCGAAAACTTAGATAATTAGCAATACGTCGGAATGTTGAGCTTCTGCAGAACGGCAGCCATTCTCAGATGCTTATGAATATTTAATTTAATCACTCTGGCAAATGTTGAGTACATTTGCAAAATGTCTGTGTGTCTCCAAAAGCTTTGTCTCGTGTTGGCCATTGATGTAAATTTGGCGGTGCAATTAAATTACTGTCTCGCCCGAAAGTTTGCCAGATGAAGATTGCATCTCGCCAATGTCTAATTTGCTACGTGAGCTTATTTACTGATGCCTGATTTAGTGCTTCATTACCATGCAAATGATTAAGGTGGTTCTGGCGCAACTCATTTGGCGGTGCCTCGAAGGGATTTCGATATAATGTTGCGCGTCGTGTTTGGGGGAAAAGTGATATATCTTGTACACAAAGTAATTTCGCTGAATTTATCAAATAATTTCGCTTCTATTGGCGTGTAAAATTCAATTGACGTGTTAATTCGCTGGAAAATGTATTGTTATGCAAACATATGGTGAAACTTTGTGGTGAAAAAGTATGCTTGATGACGTTGAGAGCCAATTTGTTGCACTAATTGATTGTCCACAGTTCGCATCGGATGTGATGAAGTATAGCTAACAATAAATTTCGCTCCTGAATCAATGGAAATGAATTCAGAGGCGCATGAAGGGACTTCCTTTTTCCTGTGCTCTCGCCTGAATAAATAATTGTCAGCTGGGCGGAAGGGGTGAAAACTCTTCCCTTTTTTTTTCCTTCCTCGCCACACCGAAAAAGCTCCGTCAGGCGAAACAATTAGAGATACAATTTGCGATGGGTGCCAGGATAAAAGACACCAAAGGGGAGCTTTTGTTGCCAACATGGTGTTTTCACAGAGTGCTCATTAACTGAAATTGCCCACAAGAATGACTGGTGGCAAATCTCGGGTGGGACCAGAGTGATGAAAAGGGCGAAAGTGTGGTCTCGGAAGTGGCGAATTTATGGATTGAGAGTGAGAGCACCAAAAAGGACCGCTCTTAAGCCACTGTGGAGCATTTTAAAATGCAGCACGGACAAAAAAAGCCAGCCATTCAGATAAGGGAGTTTATTTGGAAGCCCCCTAAATTGTCTCAACATCAGACATTTTCCATTATCGTTTGTTCTTTGGAAATATCGCCTTCTTCTTGCACTTTCACCCACTCGAGATAATGCTGTCGATTGAGCTTACAAAAAGACAAATCTCATGCTGGAATAAACACCGTAAGAGTGTCGCCCTTTCTCACACTCAGGACAAACAGGCCAATTTTCATGCCACATGAAAATTGTGTATTGGAAACAGCACAAATGCAATGAGAAGGGATGAAAACACATAGAGTTATCTTAGCATAGAGCAAAGAAGACTGTTGTGCGCGAATTCTGCAGAGTGTCATACGATGTGCTATGTATTGTCTCATTGATATCAATTAACATAACAATTCAAGATGCAAAAAATGCTTTACAGCATTAACAGCGCATGGAATTACGACTGGTAACATCTTAATCTTATGATTACATGGGACTGTCTTATAATATTCCATATGAATATCATAAGACAATCGTGTTTTAACATAACACTCTGCAATCTTCTGTTAAATTCACAATTTACGACAGATTTTCTTTATCTAAGTATAAAAATCATGGAGAATTTGTGACATTTGCCTAAAGCAACACACATTTCTCTGTGTGCACCCTTATTTACATTTGCTCAAGTGGAGTCTCCCAACTTCATCCTCCCGGCAAGAGAAGGAGACAAATCACAGGTCTCACCTTGTTCATTTGCCAATAATGTTCTCGCACGGCTAAAAGTGTGATAAATGTTAGATAAATTCCGTGGGCGGTGAACTCGTGATTTGTCTCTCGATGTGTTGTCTGCAGAAATTGCCCTGCAGCTACAAAGAATGAAATATTTATTGCCCCTGTGGATTTCTTTAATTTGGAATGCTATGGGGATGTGAATGACAGCACATGGGGATGAATTTTAATATTTCTCTGCATGATTTATGATGGGCGGTATTGAGTGACTCAAAACTGCCTTCCTGAGGAGAGTATTCAGAGGCTTTGAAGGCATCAAACGTATGATTTATTGCACTGTCAAGAGGGAGTCTTGAGCCCTTTGGAATTTTACAATTATATGAGCAAGATTATGAGTTAGTCACGAGCCTCTGTGCAGTTTTGCTCAATGGGAGTCTCTGATGACGCGATCAACTCGAAGATCGTCGACCCAAAACAGTCGATAATGAGGCCCAAGTGTGTCCCATGGTAATTTATCAGTGTCTGAGTGTTGCAAAAACCATTTTCCACAGGCGCCCAAAACACAATTCTGTTTACTCTCTTGAGTATAGGGTTTTTTTTCTGGCGCTCACTTTCTGCCTCTGGTAGGATTTTTCCTGACTTTCTAGCGTCATGAAAACACACTTTGTAAACTGCGCGCCATCGTAATTTGACCGTGGAAATTTCCTCAAAATAGATTCACAAACTAGGGCAAAAAGTCATCTATGAACTCTCGACACTTTTGGGCGCGTGCTTGTTTGCGAAAAAATTTGCCAACAGCGGAAGAGACTAATTAGAAAATTAGCCGAAAGAGGGAAAATACACGCATGCATTTCACGCGGGCAAAAAAGCCGCCACGAGGACAAAATGGGCAATCATTTGAGTTGAATCGATTCAATTTTCCCTTAATTTCCCAGCGCCAGAAGTGTGCGGAGCCTCTCGAGGCCCATCGGGGAAATTGAAAGGAAAATTCGTGGGTGCGTCTCTCGAGAGTCGAGAAAAGTGTGCTCGAAATGAATCCCATCCGGACCGCAAAAATAGCTCAATAAATGCCAATGATTGTGGTTGGGCGTCCGAAAGTTGCTTAATTCAATTTGCCCAATTTGCTCTCTTAAAGTTCGCCTGCAGAAGGCGAAAAGTGTCGCCGAGAGGAGGGAAATAAAGTAAAGGCAGACAAATTGAATGATCCGACATTTGGAGTCAATGATTGGATTTGCTTAATTAATTATATCCACTTGCTGATAAATATATTTTGGTAGGGATGAAATTGTGCCTCTCTGGGGAGTGCTTTGGCCATTTCTGTCGCACAAGACGTTTCGCCTTGCGGCAGGCATTCGTGAGGGATTTACAAGGCAGGGGGATTAAGTCAGGTGCTTCCCAGCCGCCTTCGGAAGTGAGCACACACATTGCGATGTGTTTGAGGAAGTATCAAAGACAGCAGCGGAGCCTCCACAAACACTCTTATCGCTCAGCTGGAGCGAGTGATCTTGAACCAGAGACACATCAAACACTTGCGCTGTCGCTGTGTGGGTGAGTTGTGGTTCATGAGAAGCCACCTGGCCAGAAGACTTTCATTTCTCGGCTCTGCTGCAATTTCTCCGGCTCGACTGCAGATTATGGCGGCTCATTGCTCACTGACACGATTAGGCGAACTCGGTTGGCGAGAGTGAAGAGTCGCTTTTCGTGAAAGAGCCGACTTAATGATGTCTGGAGGCAAATTAGAGCACAACGAATCATCAAACGAGCATTGGTGCACTTTGCCTACTTTCAAGGGTAGATTTTGACGTGTTGCATAAATTCGTTGCATACATTTTGACCATAAACGCATGCCTGACTCAATTATACGACTGTTGATAGCGATTTATAATCGACAAAGTGTCTGCAGACTAAAGAATGTTACAAAATAGCCAAGAAGATAAGCTGAGATATCAAAGAAATTTCAAAATAAACAGACAAAGTCAAGAGATGAACTCATTAGCGACTTTGCAGAATCTTGCATTCTAGGTCGCTTCCTTTCTGCAAAACGTGCGCTGCATAACCTCAATTCTGGTTTGCGCATTGAATGCTTAAGAGATCAAGATGTCAAATAATTTCAAGATCAAGACTACGCAAAAAATTTAAAAGTAACATTTTAGCCAAAAAATCAAGTTTTGAACGATTATTGATGTCACACATGAACTCTTGGCATTTTCTCAGATCTGCAGCATTTCACAGCGAATCGCAGGTGATTTGTAGGCGTGATTTGCTCAAGACTTAGCCACATCCTTGGCATCCAACAATCGGGCGCTCCTCGTCCCTGCGCAGATCTCTCTTACCTTCTGCATGATTGACGAGATCGCTGATCTCGCGCGGTTTTCCGGGCGCGTTCAGTGCGTCAACCCAAGATAAGGGGCGCTTGTGGAAATGTGTGTGAAAAAGGTGATGACGAATGGACTGATATCTTGATATTAAAGCTGTCCCATCCAGACGAGCAGCGCTCAGTTCTGCTCTGACTGTTGCAGGTGGCATTCCTACTCACGCAAAACCACATTTTCCATTAGGCATTGCGATAGTGTTGGCCTGAGTTAGTGAGGAAAGCCAAGTGCCTGGAGTTCAGTCAGCTCTCGAGGTTCTCCGGAGTGAGTCAGAGTGCAATGGAAGGCATCAGTGGAAGTGATTTCAAGTGCCTGAGCGGCGATCTGCCCTCGGCCAGTGAATTGTTCTCCGCCATCTCAGCCCCAATAGTCACTTGCCTGGCGATCGGCGGGTGTGTGCTGGTCACCACCATCGCGATCTTCTGGACGCAAGTGAGATTCCTGCTCGAGAACACGCCAAAGCCGTACAAAGCGCGCACCGTCACGCTGTGTGCCATTTATCAGGTCTGTGAGGGGAAATCGATTGACTGATAGTGAAAACCTGTGCTTTACCCGTGACTTTCGCACTCTCCAGGTCGTCTCGCTGGTCTGCTTCATGTCCATGCTCATCCCGCGGTTCTTTCTTATGGCAGAAATGGCTGCTGTGCTGACGTTTGGCTTTGCCGCCTATCAGATCACATGGTAAGAAAGGAGTTTTCACTTTCGATTGCACACCGTGCAATTTGCCCGCGCGCGTTACCCAACATTGGGACTTAGAGGTGGATATTTTGCATAAGTGCGACATGGTGGGAAAATGCGCATGAAAATGGTGGCATGTTCAGTGAAATTTTACAGTGTTTTGCTGGGCATTTTGAGTATCGCAGCTCCCACGATTAATCAATGAGTCGTTGGACCGCGAGAGTGAAGGTATTTCATCTCTCGGCCAGAGTCATATAATGAAAGTTAATTGGCGCTTTGCTTTGCAGAGGAATTTCCCTCTTTTCCCAACGCTACAGACTCGTGCATAGAATGATGGACTCACTGTGTTCCAATTGTCGTGTCTGACAAGAATTTCAGACATTAGAAGATCCAGTGTTTCGAGATCTATTGAGAATTCAGTGAATGGTTGTGTGAAAGTGAGATAAAAAACTAGTCTGAAATCTTGAATATCATCCAGAAACTACAGCTGAGGAACTTAAATCAGTTGTAAATTTTTTACTGGACATAATTTAATTTTAAATCTCAACCTTAACACTTGTTTTTCACAGAAGATGTATAACAATTAAAGTATTTTCCGTTACATTCTCTCCGAAAAACCATACGCAAGCCACTCGTAAACCTCGAAACATTCCAAAAAATTGATCTACGCTCTTTATTTTGTTATCATACTATAAATAGATGTCAAGCCAATTACATTAAGACTCCCTTGAGTGTCGCGCTATCAAGTCAAACAAGTTCTCCAATCTTTTGCTCGCAAGAGTAAAACCGACTCAGTGTAATTTCTCCGGCGTGTTTGCATTTCAAAATAGACGCCACTCGAGATCTCTTGTGATTTTCCGCTGACTCTCACTTTGCCTTTGCAGCCTCATTATCGACTACGCCAATGGCGAGAGTAATTTCATAAAGCTCGCCGGCGACAATGCGCTGAACATGAGAGTGCCGCCCTTCTGCCTCTTCTACGGATGCCTGAGGAATGGCGAGCCCGTGACCAAGGTGAAGTTCCTGTCCATTCGACTGCTGGTGGGACAATTCGTGGTCGTGCAGGGCGTGATGTACATAATGCTGAACGCGATCTATGTGGATGAGCCGGTGAGTGTGCAAGAAAGTGATTTCATGTCGAGCAGTTTCTTTTGCTCACCGCCAAAATACATCCCGTCGTGGTTTTGCACATCGATCAATTATGTTTTTTTCACACACTTTTTGCAGTCACTCTACAATTCCATCCGCTTCTACTTCATGCCATTCGTGATCATCTCGCTGCTGTCCTGCATTTGGGGCCTCAACATGATCACGCGAATGGTGGCGCCGTATCTGCCCTACTACAAGATCATCCAGAAGTACTTTGCCGTGCAGTTCGTGCTGCTCATGAGCAAGATTCAGCCCACGATTGCTGACATTGTTGTGAGCAACGTCGACTTTCCCTGCAACTATCCTCTGACGCCGCATGTGTACAAGAATGGTAAGAGAGTGAGTGAAAGAGCGCTGGAGATCCATGATTTTTCAATGTTCAAATCACTTTCAGTCGTTGTGCACCTCGTGATTGTCGTGCAGATGATGTTCCTGTCAATTTGGGCGATTAAGCTGTACAAGAAGCCACTGAAGAAGCCTCAAGTTCACACAGTCTACCGGTCCATGTCGACCACAGCCAGCAACATCAGTGTGAACACAACTGTGGAGTACATGTAGAGTTGGGCTGTCCACTCAAGAAATGTGCGAATCGTGCTATTATTGTGATAATTTAGACCATTTCCTCTCTTTAAGTTATTTTGTAATTAAGACGAGAATACAAGAAAATTGTTAAGAAAGGTCAATCTTTGTCAAAGCGTCAGCAAATTCACACTCGCCGATCGTGCTGGGATTTCCCAAAAGGCTGTCTTTCGCAAGAGATCACGAACCTGATTATAGTTGTTTAGTTCATTTATCACTGGAGTTGTGATTAAATTCTATGGAAGCTTCAAATCCGCCTCAATAATCATCCTAGAGGAGCTAATTGAATTTCTATTCACACTCTGACGTAAAATGATCCTTTTTTGACACAAGCTGTCATGCTGACATGTGCACAAATTCAAATTGCCGCTGCGCAAACTGTAATCGGAAATAATTGAATTTACCATCCCTCTCTCTCTCCACATTGTTTCCCAGAAGCTTTGAGGGTGAAGAAATTTCGCAAATAGCTTCATTTGCATGATAACTAAAACATCTTCTGGGAATTCTCATTGGGCAAAGGCAAAGTTTGTCGTATGCGTTTGCCAGTATTTACCATTCTCTGCACACTTTTGTGTAAACAAAGCATTTTTCATGGAATTAGAGCTGTGTAGACGCTCCTAATATGTAATTTTTATGACATTCCCAATGTCCCCATGGCGAAAGTTCTCAATTTTGCTTGCGAAACAGTGCTCTGTGTGGCCATAAAAGTGGCAAAAATTGCAACGCCACAGAAGCCACAGTGTAAAAGCTCCACCAAAACCATAAATAGTTAATTTGTTATGAACTTTTCCCATAGCCATCAGACTCCCAATGTAGTGGCAATCTATTTGGGAGAAGGGGCGAGAAAAGTTGATGATGAATTGAGGAAAAATCCCACCTGGAATTAACGTGAACTGGACATGCAAATATTCCCCAGGACGTTTAATATTTATCGTGCGGAGAAAAGTCCATCACTGACGAATGAGGTGGTCAGAACGTTTTTCCTCGGCTTTCGCAACTTTCGCCCTCATGGGAAATTCTCAGCCACACAGAGTATATTTCTGTAGATGGAAGGGTGCCACCCCTCCATTCAGGGTGAATTGGTAGATCCGGGGGCTGACAAGTGAAGCATATGAGTTGATGTGCTGGTTGCACTTGAAATTGATTACGAACTTCAAACATTGAGTAGATTCCAGTAAATTCCTCTTCATATTCCCACATATTGCTTTTAGTCACATGACAAGAGAAGTATTTCCTGGTAAATCCCGCAGCAAAACCCCAGAATTCCCGGAAAAGGAAAACTTTCCCCAGGTAAATTACAAATTGTGGCGTCGTTGGAGTGTAAATAGCAACATGCAGTTGAGCCACAGAGGATAGATTTTGCAGATAGATCCTCTTAAGCTGCTTTCCGTGTGGTGTTGAGAGGTGCAAGCATGTCTAAAGAGCTTAGTTTTTCGGCATTAACACATTCAAAGTAAACCAATTTGTCCAATATTTGTACAATCTTGATAAACTTAATGACGTTTCGCAATATTATCATTTTATTTTGGAACAGACTCTACAAATTCTCTCTCTTTCTCTGGTAGCTATAGAGTTTCTCTCGTGTATCACCTTCATCAGTTCAATTACTTGGCTCAATTCTTATGCAGTGTTCATCTGTTGGGTGTTCTTTCATGCTTCAACAGGGCAATAAAGTTGCACTATTCGTGATTCAAGACCTATCTTTCTATATGCCAAAGGCACTTATCGCATTTGCAAGCTAAAGTTATTTTTTCCCGTGACCTTCAATTTTGTGAAAGAATTGTAATCGTTTTGCTTATTCACAGCAATAAAATTTTCCTTCTGCATTTCAGTGGGCGGAGCATTCGAATAGGCGTGTCATAGAGCTTTACTTTTTTCTCGTGTTTTCTAATTTCTTGAACACTTATTGGCACGAAATGTACTTTCTTAAATTCATATACTGGTACGAAGAAATAATCATTAATCATGTTTTAAAAACATTTTTATGCAGTGTGAAGCTTATGCAAATATTCAACAAGTATCTAATATTTCTCGATATTTCCTTCATCGTGATATTGGTGTCAGAATTGGAATATAATTTGTGTTATTCGTCAAAATGCCACTTGTCATCCCCTGGTTTATCGTCAATTTCCACCCTCGTGCCATGAAGGAATTTCCACGTGAGGTGAGTGATTGTGTGGCGAATTCTTGGCTTTTTCTCGCAAGCGCCATTTATCACGCTTTTCCGCCACTGTCACCACAATCTCGAAACACCCGGAAAAGGATTAAAGACGAACGGTGGAAAGTTCGAAGTGCGGCGGCAGAATAAATGGGTGAAATATTCCAACAGCCAACCTCATCTTAAACTCGACGAAATCACGTGATTTATAGGGTGGGTTCGGAGGTGCGGGTTTCTGGGTCAAGTCAGCCCGATAACCCTTAAAGCTCGGGCGACCGTAAAAAAAGCTCGAGATTTGAGGTGGTGCGCGTGCTTTCATGTGGGAAAACATGGAAAATTGACACGATACAATTGCTTAGAGAATATTTCTTCGGAGTTGCAGACGAAATAAATAATATGTGAGACTATTTTACATGGTTTATGTGGTCTCAAATGCGGCGAGAGCATTCCGTGCAGTTGTGCGGGGTGGTTTTTCTGTGGGGTGGGTTGAATTTATGGTGATTTTCCTCCATATCTTCGCCTTGCTAAACAAGAAGAGGGCGCAGAAATTCTTACCATGTGATCCAAAGACGACGAGAAAAGTGAATAAAAGAGAAATTGAGAGGGGGGTGGTGATAATCATAAAAATTTATCACATTCTCTGGTCGTTCCCGTCCAATAAAATACATAGATTGAGGACATAGAAAGGTCCCCTCGTGCTCTCGTGGGGTGGGTGGAATTTTAACCACCGAATGTGGGGCTAAATGCTGCATTTCTCGCATAGGGGCTGGAAATACATATTCACTCAGGCGAATTGGAAAGCTCTTTCGGACCGCATCCAATGAAATCCATGAAAAATGACTCTGTGGACATTTTGACCCCCCCTAAGAGGGTGGTTTTCTTACCCTTCACGTTGGCATTCAAGTTTCAAATTCAACGGATGTCAGAAGCTGAATTTCGTGCTTATCAGCATGAGAAATCGCCACTCATTTGCAGCGCTCGCGTTGAGGAAAAGTGTCCTCTTTTACTGCCCGTGGGACTCATTAAGGATAAAGTGGGGATTTGAAGTTTAGCAGCTGAAACGTGTGATGAAATTAATGCGATGCCTCATAAAAGACTATCACCGAATGCCTCATAAAGTGGGCAATTAAATTCACGAGAGCAGTTCGCACATTTGCATTATGCAACACCGTCATTATCCCAAAGCAAAGCTCCGCGATTCCGTGCGCTTCTTCAGGGTGGATCAATGAACTCCGGGTGGGATTTAATTAACTCCCTTGTGTGATGAGAGGAGAAGTGAATTTGAATTTTGGGAGCGGGAAAATGAGCAAAGTTAATATTTGCCCAATGAGTTATTTATTGGTCTTTGAGCGTCAACTTTCACCTCAGTTGACACCAAATATAATCCCAAAATTGTCTCTCTGTCACCTCTACCACCCACACATCTCAAACCCATCAACTTTCGTGTTCTGTGTGCGCCGGAAATATATCAGGGCGACCTCAAAAGCTCTGCATTGTTGCCCGTGATTTCCAGCTCAACACACACAAACACACACTTTTTGCCTCTCCACTTGCGGGCTCCGCTTGGGGTTCGATTGAAAGGACTCACTTGATTGCGGACTGAGATGCCATCGCTGACCTCCTTGGCAGGATACGGTTCTGCCACGCTGTGCTGGTGAAAAGGGGCTGACAAATACAAACCCTTTGGATTCCTCTGTAATTTGACACATAACAAGTGATCTAAACCCAAAAATCAAAAAGTTCCTTCTGGTTGTACTCAATTTGATCTAACTTGTGACAAAGTGACACGCTAGCTGAAGGAGGAATCATTAAAAATCCTTATTTTAATATAAGCAAGCTCCAACGTGTATTCGGTAAATATTAGATAAGTTTACGACCCTACAAATAAATGAAGTTCAGAGCACTTATGAAAAACTACTGGCAGAATCGCACTCAGAAATCATAGATAATTGGAATAAGGTTGCAAGAGTCATAATGATAAACTTGAGGAAGAGGAAGTGGAATATAAGAAACTGTAGTACTTCAAATCAGACAAAGCGCTCTGAACAAGTGCAGTGAATGAAAATAATTTTGGAGAGCAGCAATAAACAAGACTTCATATTAATCAGACATATTTTTCATAGTCAGAAGACATGGAAAATCCAATTACCTTTCATTTATACCAAAGTGGACCATAATTGATGGTTGAAAAACACTAGAGATGGAAGTAATCATTTGGAATTATCGTTAAGTTTTCATTTCGCATCGGTGAATATCAAATAGTTTGTCAAGTGTCTCCTCAGCCTCCATTGCTTCTCTTTCTGCTCCATTCAGCACACAATTAAATTGTATTTCCTCCAGGAATCACTTGTCCATGACAGACTATTTCCTTCTCGTCCATCGCTCGAAAAGCTGAATTGAAAATGTTGCGGTCATTGTCAAGTTGAGCCCGTGTTCGGGGGATTTGAAAGAGTCCCCAAATGCTTGTCGATGGAATACCTTTGGGTCATGGTGAACCTTTTTAGCATCACATTGACCGAGTGCTTCTCAGTACTGAGAACATTGCCGAAATTGCCCAATAAACAGCGAAACATTTTCTCTTGGCAGTTTGAAAGCTCCTTCACAATTTACTTGCGCCGCTGTGTTGGCCTTCAGGGTCTCTCCAATTCACTCCCGCCCATGAAATATTCATGGGTGCTCCAGATGAGTGCATAAGATATAAATCCCAACCTGAACACCTTCGGCAGTAAATTTAACATGTCGTTGGGTGGATATTTCCAATGCGAGACGGTTTACTTTAAATTTGAGATGCAACAGACAAGTTTGGGTGGAAAGGGAGAAAGATAGAGTGAAGTGAGTAAATGAATTAGCGGATGTGGAGCGAGGATTTGGGGGTGTGGGTTGAAAAGTGAAAGTTCATCTCTATTGACCCGTCTTCTTTGTCAGGATTTCTCCGCATTTCCATTTGAATGGGCGAAAACCCCACTGAAAGCTTTTCACCATTTCTTTTTGGGGCTTTTTGTGCGCAGAGGTCATTGAATCGTGAGAAATTTACACGCATTTCTCACACACAGTAGAATTTTGTAATTCCACCTCTTCCACCCAACTTTGTGACAACATAACC